CTCCGCAATAGATATTTAGATAGTTTTTACTTGATTGTAAAACAAGTAAAAGACACAATTTTTTCTGAAACACGCTGTATATCGTGTAATGCCAGAGGAATTTACTATTTGAAACGGTTTTTGTCCCATTTCGGCCGTAAAAACTTTATTTTTAGCAAAAATAGGCGAAAGACAGTGGAAAAAATGAGAGACGCAGACAATATTTTGTTTCCCTGTTTGTACCATAGTTCGAATCAATCTATAATTCTCGCTCTTCTGTGTTGTAGAACTCTTAGTATTCTTCGAATTGGCCACCCATAAACCTTCCATTCATCTAACTGGCGCTAATACACTCGAAAAATAGCAAATTCCGAAGTTTAGAGCACTGTATCTACCCAAATCTAATTTCAATCGCTTAGGCATTTCTACAGTAACATTTTTTCATCGAAAACATTACATCCACCAAGTTTGGATTTCCCGACAATGTTAAAAATGAAAAGCGCTCACCAGATGATGGGCCACGACACAAATCTGACAGAGTGTTCATAAATGTGTTATTTCAGTAAATGAGTGGAACAAACAGACACGGTATCCAATATATAGAGCATATTTCATTGTGAATCAAGAATTGGCAAGTTTTTTGAAAATCTTTTTTATCCGTATTTCAATAGTAAAATAGATAAAACGGCGAACTTCTGAAACAATTTCAAATATTTGCAGGAAGAAATTATCGATGAACTGCATTGCCGCTAAATTTGAATCGAAGGGAACGATAATTTTGATTTCTCTTATTTTTTTCCTTGATTTTGTTTATTGTTTTTATTTTTTCTTTTAATCCTTTACTAGATAAGTAAGGTAAGTCTTTTTTAATGAGAGGATCGTGTTGAACCCTTTCAAAAGTGCTCTAGCAAGCCTGTGAAAAATACAACGTTTCACGGTATTTTTCGTATGAATGGACCCAAGGTAAGCTAATTTTTGGTTCTACGCCCTCTTTAAATCCAAAATGTAATGGAAATGCTAGAAATGTTTTGGGTAGTTCTACGGGTGCATGAGGCCCGCGTACACTTGATAGAATCTCTAACACAGGTGTGTCGTATAAAATGAATATAATTGTTGCACATGCGATCTATCACATAACTTTTTGCGAAGTACGAGTTTTTTTCTTAATTTTCAGACTGGCTGAATGCTATCTGAAAAAAATTTCAAAAAAATTCTTTAAAAAGTTTATTTGATTAAAAATTACCGTAAGGTAGTGCATTCCCTTCCGTGGTTCGACTGAATTTAAAGTGAGATCTTCATAGCACAGATCTGATCTATCCGATTGTGCGATGATCGCGTCGAGTTCTTCGATGAATTTGACGACAAAATTCGTTTGTATGTTAATTTGTCATATTTATTGGAATTTTTTCCCATCTATCATCCCTTGCCACATTCTAATCATCTTCGGTTCTTGAAAAAAAATGCATTTAAATTGAACGCGTTAAGCTGCTTCTGTTTCGGATTTCCTCGAACCGAAGAATTGAATTTTTCGATGAAACAAAAACTTAACACGACAACTCGGTACTATTGATACTATGCAAAATTTGTTGCATAATGGTGAGGTATTCTGGAGATAGTTTAGCTCATTCCTCAACCAAACATTTCTTCAATGACTCCAAATTGGTATAGGGATTAGCCTGGGCCTTCGACTGAAGTACGTCCAAAACAGAATACTCTGGTAATTCATTTCGAATCGAATACGAATTGAACGCGTATTACAAACGTATACAGAAAATTTCGAATCGTATACGATTGACAGTAAAACCGAAACGAATACGATAGAATTACAATCGTATACGTTCGAAAAAACACTGGTAACTCGATTCGAATCGAATACGAATTGAACGCGTATTACAAACGTATACGCAAAATTTCGAATCGAATACGAATTGGCAGTAAAACCGAAACGAATACGAATTACAATCGAACGCAAATTAATTAACCGGATTCGGCGACATATTTATCCTAAATTTTCTATTTAAAAAATATTTTGTCGGTTTCGAAAAGTTAACGATATCGTATGATATCCGAGCTGAGCTGAGTATATTTAATACTAATGAATGCCCAGTAGTGTTGCTTACTCCTTGTTGCCGCGAGACACCGAAATGCAGCTATTTACAAGATTTTTTCGCGTTCGGGCGCGTGCGGTTCGCGTGCGCGCACGTTTATATTTATCAATTTTCCACAGTATGATTCAATGTAAATATATTTTTTAATAGTTTCAACAAATTCGATGATATCAATTGCAACAGAAGTTGGCACCTGTTGCTGAGCGAAAACAAAGAAGAAAAAGAAATTGCTGAAGTAAGCGTGTAGCAATAAAAAATATATGATCATTATTCAGAAAAAGTTCGATGACCACGCCCAAGGACTCATATCCTTCGATGATTCTCTTCTGAAGGCTATATACAAAAAAGGAACGGATACAGAGAAAGCGGCATTATGCTGCATTAAATCTCTCGCATACTCGGTTAGTTAATCTATATTTTACAAATATCAATTAATCACTGCAATTCACTTCTGAAATTCTTCTCAGATCACTTAATTATGTGCAGTTTAAAACACACTCCTTCAATTTCTATCAATTCAATTTTTTAGGTGGAAAAGATTTGTAATAAACCAGCGAATAGGACGTCGTATAGCGGGAATTTGGTGATTTAATTGCGTCAAACAGATAAATTGCCTACTATTTTTAGGACAAGGTATTTGCAATGTTCGACCCGCTGAAGCTTGCTTCTTATGACGACACCCTTGTGCCGGCCATTGAAGGAAATGGTAAAAAGAAATTCGTTACAGTAAATAACTTTTTTTTAAAGATTTGGTTAACTTCTCACTTATCATTCAGTCGATGCGTCCCTGTAAGCGTCATCTGCGAACAATAGTGCACGAGGCAGTTATGATTTGGATGAACGAGGTAAAAAATAATTTTCGATGTTTTTACTATTTTCATAGTTACAGGTGATTCCTCAAAACATTCGATGCAAGTATACGCCACGCCGAAATCCTCAAAAAGGTAATATTGCAATTGAAGCGCACATAATCAATACGTTTATTGGTCAGTTTTCTATAATTCTATAATATTTCAATAATTTAATTTTTACAGAATTACTTTTACATTGTATATCAATCCCGGACACCGAAGAGAAGATGATGCGAATTGCCGTTACAGTAATCACGGAAAATTATATCGAATACTTATGGTTAGTCAATATTTCATTTTTATAGTTTTTTTACTGGAAAATTTTTAGTAATCGCGCAAGGAGGCTGCGAATTGAGGAGGAGCTCTCGAACTCGCGCCATAGTTAATTTTCTGTATATCAGTTTATCAGGTTTGCGTTGGCTTGGAATTTCCGTAGTTAAATGAAAATCAAAAAAACAAAATATAAATTAATCTGATTCGATAGAAAAAGAAATGAAATTCGATTGAGAAATTGTTTAGATTCGCTTTGAAAACTTGTTTCGATTCAAAAATCTTCGAAATCGATTGGTTCATTCTTCATTCTCAATTTTGAAATCGTATTCGATTTAAATTTTGAAATAATTCGAAACAGATTAATGTATTATCGATTTCGATTGAAAAGAAAATTATTTTCGAACTCGATCGATTTTCATTTACCAGAAAAGGAAATGTCGAAATTGAAGCAAGTTATAAATTTTTCGTCAAAAAATGGCGAAAACAAATAATCGAAATAGTATTTCCGAAGAAATAAATTGAAAAAATCGCACATCCTGCTATACATATTTTTGTTTCATTCCTGCTGTTGGTTGTTATTGTGTTTATTGCAATAAATAATTTTGTTTGTCTAATCGATTTTCTTTTTCTTCCATAATTGATTCAAATCGAATTCAATTCAAAACCGAATACGATTACATTTGAAAAATATACGACTACATTCAAAACGAATACGGCTGCATTCAAAACGAATACGGCTGCATTCAAAACGAATACGGCTGCATTCAAAACGAATACGGCTGCATTCGAAACGTATTCCAAAGATAATCGAATACGATAATTTCACAACCTAATACGAGAAATTTCGAACCTAATTAGGTCACGTTCGGAGCCGAAATTTGTCGTATTCGGTTTCAAATGTGTCGTATTCGATTCGAAATGAATTACCAGAGTAGTCGAGCGGGCTCAAATCCAACGACGACGCTGGTCCTCTGGTAATTCATTTCGAATCGAATACGACACATTTGAAACCGAATACGACAAATTTCGGCTCCGAACGTGACCTAATTAGGTTCGAAATTTCTCGTATTAGGTTGTGAAATTATCGTATTCGATTATCTTTGGAATACGTTTCGAATGCAGCCGTATTCGTTTTGAATGCAGCCGTATTCGTTTTGAATGCAGCCGTATTCGTTTTGAATGCAGCCGTATTCGTTTTGAATGTAGTCGTATATTTTTCAAATGTAATCGTATTCGGTTTTGAATTGAATTCGATTTGAATCAATTATGGAAGAAAAAGAAAATCGATTAGACAAACAAAATTATTTATTGCAATAAACACAATAACAACCAACAGCAGGAATGAAACAAAAAATATGTATAGCAGGATGTGCGATTTTTTCAATTTATTTCTTCGGAAATACTATTTCGATTATTTGTTTTCGCCATTTTTTGACGAAAAATTTATAACTTGCTTCAATTTCGACATTTCCTTTTCTGGTAAATGAAAATCGATCGAGTTCGAAAATAATTTTCTTTTCAATCGAAATCGATAATACATTAATCTGTTTCGAATTATTTCAAAATTTAAATCGAATACGATTTCAAAATTGAGAATGAAGAATGAACCAATCGATTTCGAAGATTTTTGAATCGAAACAAGTTTTCAAAGCGAATCTAAACAATTTCTCAATCGAATTTCATTTCTTTTTCTATCGAATCAGATTAATTTATATTTTGTTTTTTTGATTTTCATTTAACTACGGAAATTCCAAGCCAACGCAAACCTGATAAACTGATATACAGAAAATTAACTATGGCGCGAGTTCGAGAGCTCCTCCTCAATTCGCAGCCTCCTTGCGCGATTACTAAAAATTTTCCAGTAAAAAAACTATAAAAATGAAATATTGACTAACCATAAGTATTCGATATAATTTTCCGTGATTACTGTAACGGCAATTCGCATCATCTTCTCTTCGGTGTCCGGGATTGATATACAATGTAAAAGTAATTCTGTAAAAATTAAATTATTGAAATATTATAGAATTATAGAAAACTGACCAATAAACGTATTGATTATGTGCGCTTCAATTGCAATATTACCTTTTTGAGGATTTCGGCGTGGCGTATACTTGCATCGAATGTTTTGAGGAATCACCTGTAACTATGAAAATAGTAAAAACATCGAAAATTATTTTTTACCTCGTTCATCCAAATCATAACTGCCTCGTGCACTATTGTTCGCAGATGACGCTTACAGGGACGCATCGACTGAATGATAAGTGAGAAGTTAACCAAATCTTTAAAAAAAGTTATTTACTGTAACGAATTTCTTTTTACCATTTCCTTCAATGGCCGGCACAAGGGTGTCGTCATAAGAAGCAAGCTTCAGCGGGTCGAACATTGCAAATACCTTGTCCTAAAAATAGTAGGCAATTTATCTGTTTGACGCAATTAAATCACCAAATTCCCGCTATACGACGTCCTATTCGCTGGTTTATTACAAATCTTTTCCACCTAAAAAATTGAATTGATAGAAATTGAAGGAGTGTGTTTTAAACTGCACATAATTAAGTGATCTGAGAAGAATTTCAGAAGTGAATTGCAGTGATTAATTGATATTTGTAAAATATAGATTAACTAACCGAGTATGCGAGAGATTTAATGCAGCATAATGCCGCTTTCTCTGTATCCGTTCCTTTTTTGTATATAGCCTTCAGAAGAGAATCATCGAAGGATATGAGTCCTTGGGCGTGGTCATCGAACTTTTTCTGAATAATGATCATATATTTTTTATTGCTACACGCTTACTTCAGCAATTTCTTTTTCTTCTTTGTTTTCGCTCAGCAACAGGTGCCAACTTCTGTTGCAATTGATATCATCGAATTTGTTGAAACTATTAAAAAATATATTTACATTGAATCATACTGTGGAAAATTGATAAATATAAACGTGCGCGCACGCGAACCGCACGCGCCCGAACGCGAAAAAATCTTGTAAATAGCTGCATTTCGGTGTCTCGCGGCAACAAGGAGTAAGCAACACTACTGGGCATTCATTAGTATTAAATATACTCAGCTCAGCTCGGATATCATACGATATCGTTAACTTTTCGAAACCGACAAAATATTTTTTAAATAGAAAATTTAGGATAAATATGTCGCCGAATCCGGTTAATTAATTTGCGTTCGATTGTAATTCGTATTCGTTTCGGTTTTACTGCCAATTCGTATTCGATTCGAAATTTTGCGTATACGTTTGTAATACGCGTTCAATTCGTATTCGATTCGAATCGAGTTACCAGTGTTTTTTCGAACGTATACGATTGTAATTCTATCGTATTCGTTTCGGTTTTACTGTCAATCGTATACGATTCGAAATTTTCCGTATACGTTTGTAATACGCGTTCAATTCGTATTCGATTCGAAATGAATTACCAGAGTCATTCTGAACGAGAAATAAACCGGCAAAATTGGCGGCCCACTGAGATTTTACGACTTTTGCTTTTTGAGCCGGTGCAGAGTACTTTGGGAATGTCCAAACCTGGTTTCGAAAGGTACGTGGAAGCACGTGTTTCTTAGAATTTCTTCTAAGTAGTATTCCCGGTTGATTTTAACTCCGGGATCCACAAGAACAAGCGAAATCTTCTTATGCTGAAAAATAAAATAATAAAATTTTTGCGCGAAAAATGCGCCAGATTCTGCTAGAAGGCTTCAAACTTGTGTTTCCATAATTATGGGCCACCCTGTACAGTGCGCGTCATAATGATACTATCATCTATCACCCCAAATTTCGCAGTTTCTAGAAAACCATATTAATTGGTGACAAGAAAATTGCGTTTTCGAATTCAGGACCATTGAAAACCTTTATGTGCGTATTTTCATAAGGGTCCGTTGGTCCGTATGCGGACATTCCCAATAAGTTGGATTTTTAAGGGCGTCATAATGATACTCCACACCCTATATGTATATTATTATATTTAAAACAAGTCTATGCATATATGAATAAGGTTATAAAAAATTTTAATTATATGTAGTTAATTAAAAATGGCAACTATCCTTTAAGTCTATTCAATGAAGAGAGGTTTTTTTTTCAACTCTGCTTCTAAATCCACGTTTCTTGAATGTTTCCAAAAATTGATGGGAAAAGTCAGGTAGACAAAGAAAGGCACACACACACAACACTTGGACACTCTCACATACTAGAGACCAAACCTCCCGCACACATTTACACACACACGATAACATTTTTCTATTGACTAGTCCACATTTGCCATGGGTCATCCAGATATTGTAAGTGTTCAATGGTTAAAGGAGCATTTCAAGGTGAGAAATTCACAAAAATTTTGATCTATGTTTATTTTGTTTTAGAAGGTGAAAATTCTTGACGCGACGGAAACCATCAAGCCGATGCCAAATGTCGATGAATTTGAGGCGAAATATTATGGAAATTTCGAGTTATTGCAGAAGGATTTTGTAAGTTTTTATTAATGATTATTTTTATGGAATTTGCATTATTTTTGCAGGTTGAGGACGAGTATTTGAAAGAGCACATTCCTGGAGCAGTTCACTTCAATTTTGATATCGCATATTGCCCAACAACGTGAATTTTTATTGAATAATTTCCTTAAACCGCGCCAAATTTCAGATTTAAACGCTATGGGCTTTACAATGCTAATATATTTGAAAAATATGCTCAATTGCTAGGAATCAACCAAAATGATCATCTGGTGATATACAGTCGTGGTCCGTTGGCTGGCTGTCTGTTTGCTTCACGAGTTTATTGGACTTTTAAGGTTATTCTTTTCAATATTTTTTCGGGATTTAAATTGAATTTCAGGTGTATGGATTCCATAAAGTAAGCATTTTGAATGGCGGATTGAGCGCATGGAAAAATGATGGCGGTGAGGTGACCAGTGGCGAAGAACACGTTCCGCGAGGCGATTTTAAAGCAGAATCTATCAATCTTGAATTATTGGAAAGATTTGAGGTACTCTAATTTTCTTTAATTATCCTTAATTACCCATCGTTTTGTTCTAGAAAATTCCATTCAAGAATCTTGACGATGTTCAATTTGTTGATGTTCGCACACCAGCGCAATATTGCGGCGAGGAGCCGCTAACGAAAACCTACCCAAAATCGATTGCCAAGGGCTCACATGTTCCAAAATCGAAGAATTTGCCAGCCGGCAAATTTTTCGACGCAAACGGATTCAAAAGCAAAGACGAGATTCGGCGGATCGTTGACGACGCTGGAATCAAAACGAGCCATCCAATCATTCTTTCGTGCAACGGCGGTGTCCAGGCGTCGGCAGTTTTTGCCGCGTTGCAGCATTGCGGCATCCTAGCAAAAGTCTACAATGTGAGTATATATGCGCGATTTTTATCAATTTTTATATCATTTTTAACAAAAAGGAATCTATTTTTTCAAGTGTTTCGTATAGGCGCCTTTAAATCCATACAATAATTTATTTTTGGCCGATTTTTTTTTCGGACCATCTTTTTATTTCTTCTTTTTGGATGTGGAGCTTAAAAAGTTGAACAAGGCGATTTGGTCCGTAGAATAATTTTTATTATTTAGCTGCGTATCGATCTTAGTATACATCAATAAAAAAATTGTTATTTTCACAATAAAACTGTATTTATCTTAAATTCCTTTAAAAATTTTGAAGATGAATTTTTTTCCAAAAGAGTGCATAAATATTTAAAAGCTTGAAACAAGACTAAGAAAAACTCGAACAATTTCAGGGTAGCATGTCTGAATTGGCCTCACGGGCTCCACATCTCGTCAATGGACGTCTTCACTAACTTCGTCCTCATTATACAACGTTACCTTGACGGCATTTCACTGCGTCTCCCAAATTTCCGCACTACTTCGCTTACCCTCTCATATCAACAATGCCACAGCACACACACACACACACCGACCCACATACGTACCAAATTTGTTTATTTCGGCACTGTTTAGGTTCATATACATTCATAAATGCTTTATTTATTATTCGCGTTTTTTGTGAATTGCTCTGCTTCTCAATGGATTCGAGATTTGAATTTGCCGCCTCGTCTACTCGAATATTCTGTCGTCAATTATGCGAATTTGCGAGAAAAGTGTAAAAATGACGAGACTTGTAAAATTGATGTGAGTTGCTTCTGCGGACATTCTAACAGGCTTGCGTTCAAAAGGAAAACATTTAAAGGCGTAGAGAGAAATAAGAAGATTTTAGCGTAGATTAAAATGCAAATCCGTAGAGTTCGTGCGGTGTGATTGCACAATATAAGTTAAGGTCAAACGAATTTGTGGTACGATTGATTTTTCATTTGAATTGCCTCCATTAGTCTCGTATGGAAAAATTCTTCGTGGCGAGTTTTGCCAAATTTAATCACCATAATGTGAAAGAGCATTTTATTTAATGAGTACCTTGATTATTTTTAAAAGTGTCAAATGAGGGACCAATAAATATGCAGCCCGCGTAACTCAAATTTTTCGAATTCGTTCGCCCACAATGATAGCGAATCAATTTTTTTTCGCCGCGGATTCTCATTTTAATCGACGCCGCAATATTTGAAGAAGTCCCGAGCTCCTAATTGCCAAGTTTAGGTTGATCAGAAAATTTGCTTTGGGCATGAGGAATGGTGCTTGCGAAACGATTCAATGGCTTCGAATCAGCGCCTGCTACAATGCCAGAAAAATTTGAATCCGTAATCGTCTATTTCTACAAACCAACTTGTTTCTTGCAATTTTGTTTTCTAGAAAAGTCGTTGATCAGTATTTCGAACAGGCCGATTTTGGATATTTAAAATCGCGAAAATTTGAGCACGTGATCTGCGATTCAAAGTCAGAGGTATCTTATATGCTCAATGGACATTTAATATGTGAAAACCTTCAGGAAAAATCCTATTTAAAATGCTCAAAGCATCTCGCAAATTGTGTTGGAAAAAATCTATTTTTTGATTTTTCCAATTTAAACATGAAAACTTCAAAAAGGTTTTGATTTATTTCCTCAAGTCGTATGAAATTATTTCCAGATATCGAGACGACGTTATTCAAAAAGGCCAAATCGGGGGTAATTGTGATAATTTTGACGAGGTGCTTCTCGCTGAAAATTCGAAACAAAAGGGATTTCTGACGACGTGGTTCGAGAATTCTCAATAAGCCCACCAATATCAAAGTTTCTATTAAGGGCCGACGAGTTACAACATTTTGAGTCTCGTCAAGAATTTCGCGTCTCTTCAGAATATTGCGATGTGATTTTCGAAAAACCCACAATTATGATGAAATTGGACGCAGCGACTAATTTGTAAACATTCAAGATCGATAGTTTCCCAAAAAATTTTTTAGATATCATCATTTCTGTGATTTTATTAATTTATACGCTTCCCTACACCTAAATGAGACATTTGAGCAAGACGTCGATATTATTTGGTACGATACGGTTTGTTGAAAATTGTCTGAAAAAAAAGAAGAAAAATAAATAATTTTCAGCATCCTGATGGCTTCATTGATAAATTGTACGGGGTTGTTTGGAAAGCGTTCTCAAAAAATCAGCCAATTGAATTGAAAACTTTAGGTAGGTAAATTCTTCCAATGAAAAGTTTGTAGGATTTAAGCTTTAGATCAAAAGCGGGTTTGCTTCAAAGATCTCCTTCTTCCATTACTAGCTCGACAAATAAATGGGCTCTTTTACAATATGCCATTAACTCAAGGATGTTCGGGCTCAGCTTTTGTGAAATCATTTTCAGATTTTCTACTTCATAGGTATACACATCTTAATAAAATGATCAAAAAATAGGAGATTTACGTCTAAATTTAAGACTTTCAATCGCAAAATCTCAGCCGCTTCTTGACGATGTCCGAGTGGTGATTCTCACAAGATCAACGTCATTCCGACGAATTCTGAATATTCAAGAGGTGAGATTTGCGAACGAACAAGTGAACAAAGGCAACAATCGAAAGACCACCAGATATGTACAGATAAAACAAAAAAAGAACATTTGAATGACACTTAATTATTTCGGGACCCTCCTGTCTGGACACCAATTGAAACATTATCATCCTCATCATCGGTCATGTCTCGAATTTGACGCAATTCGATAGGCACCAGGATTTTCTAAAGAAATTTGAGGAGATGAACGCTCACTTTGAAGTTCTCTTATTACCTGATGCCCTAGCTCGGGCTCGCTTAAGAAATATCCATTTACGGTCTCATCGCGCGATGTCAGCTGCTTTCGTAGAACGAATATGATCAAAGCCGACGCGATTGCTAAAAGTGACTCTTTTAGGATTGCCGGTGTCAAATAGAAATACTGTGAATTGGGGTGAAGACCATTTGAAACGAGTACATCGCTATCCTCGTGCTTGTCACTATCCGATTGTCATTCGCACCAACACTTTCAATATACTGAAATTATTTGTCTTCAAATATCGTCTTGTGAAGCTATCGGTGATATGGTAGTTCTTGAAGGTCTCACCTTTTCTTCATCATTAATAAGCATGGCGGTCCAAAAGAACAAGCCGACACTTTCGACGAACGAAAACGCTGCGGCGATAAGGCTGGTGAACTGAAAATCTCGAATTATTGTCAGTTTTGGCGATTGGCTTCTGCTACCAGCCAAGCTCTGGTTGGTCGAAATTTGGTGAATGCTAGCACCACCAAACTATTGCAAATTAGTAGCACTGATATGAGAAGCGCGTACGGAATGGGACCATCATAAAACACAGCGATTATTGAGAATATTAACTTAAAAAAATATTGAATTATTTAAAGGGAGATTTTTAATGAAAATGTACCAATTGTAGAGCGCTAGCGAAGGCGATGAGGGTTAATATTAACATGGTCCGCGGGTTTGGGGTCAGAATTTTGCTGGTAACCAGTTGCTCAACCTGAACATCGTTGTATGTATTGATGTGAATTTCATCGAAACTTACATGATAGGAATTTGAGAAATTGATGAATTTGCTTGAATCCATTGTCGTATTCCTATTATGAATGTGCTGATAGGTCGGATTGATGGCCATTCCGCCGCCGCCCATCGGATTGATGTTGTAGGTGGTTCTGACTGTCACTAGAATCAATAGAAGCTAACTCATAAAACATTTTGTGTAATGATTCAAATGCGAGATTATGGCTGGAATTTTTAGCGCAAATTTTACCCGTCGATTTCGTCGTGATGCTATCATTATCCGATTCGGTGTGATTGTCATCGAATCCATACGTGTCGCGATAATAGACTTGCGGCGGAAAATTGGGCATGCGCTGCAAATCGAAATCGATAAAAACAATAGGAAAGCGATCGTGTTCATCGTGGGAGCCCGGGGGGTGAGCCGGCGACAAGCGGCTGGCTCCTCCGCCACCGACCACATGTTGTTCAACCGCCTAATTTATTTTTAGTGCATCAAACGATGGGCACCGCCCGCCGTTGATTTGTGCGCATTCAAACCTTGGCGACATCGATTCGAAACGGCACAGGTTCGGCCATAAAAGTTGGACGCGCGTGAGAGCAATTGCGACTTCTTTTTTGAATCGTTCTCGACGGCGTCGTCTCGCCGCCGAAAATTGTTTAGTGTAAAATGAAAAGACGCTGCTGATCGGATTGCAAAAACTGCCTCATCGTGCCCGTCGTGTGATTGATCGGACTAATTTATGAGATTTTCGTACCAAAAAAATATGCATTTTATTGCGCATTTCCAACCAATCAATTTGTTTGTAATATTCCAGTCTTATTTATATATATATATTTTTTTAAATGGCTGAAAAAAGGAGCGCTATAATATGTCCGCAGAAGCAAAACTACATATAAAATTTTAGGGGAACATGTGTTGCGTTCATTTTTTTTAACGATCTTTAAAGAAAAACTCGCCGGCTGGGAATTGAAATATCAAAATATTGGAGCAATGAAAACTGAAACTTATTGAAAATAAGTGGAAGAATGGCGTATGACATGTGTAATAAACGACAAACATTATCGTTGATCTCTTTTCAACACAAGCGGCGATAATATCGAGTTTCAGGTGTTTCGAGCAACTGGAAGGCTAGCGAATGTCACGGTTAAAATGGTTGATTACAACGAGTAGGAATTTTCTTAAAAATACACCATTAAAATGATTAATTTAAAGGCGCATCAAGTTCATTCGTCAGATAAATACGACATCACAGGCGGATATTTTCATCGGAATGCATGGCGCCGGCTTGACGCATTTGCTATTCTTGCCGGATTGGGCGGCGGTGTTTGAGGTGTAAGTCCAAATGGTCCCTATTATCATTCGAACACTTTTGATCTTTCTGGCTTTTCCCCGAAATTGACGGTTTTTTCTCTCTCTCTACACAATTTTGAAACGATATTTTAATAATTAATAGAGAAATGCAGAACGCATTTTATAAATTACCCCCTTCTGGGCGAGCTTGGGCCAAAATGGGTCAGGAATCGGACAACCTATAGACGAAAAAAAGGCAACCCCGTGGCAACCATTGACCGGTGATTGACTGAGTTTGTCCAATTAGCTTCCCTGAAAGTGACAATTAATTTTTTTCAAATTTTGCTGATTTCAGTTACAACTGCGGTGACAAGTATTGCTATTGGGACCTGGCTCGTTTACGAGGTGTCAAATATTTCACGTGGCCTGAGTCAAAGGTAACCTTATTTGGAGTGAAATTAAAATGAGAAAGTTGAAATATTGGAGAAAAATTATGTATCTTTTAATTATAGTCATTTTATTGCATAACGACTTTTCATTCAAAAATATTGGCGAAACATAATTTAGCCAATAAATATATATCATATACCATATATCCAAATTTTTACTAAATTTAGAATCATCTAATCCGACCTGAAAAAGAGGGAAAACATCCAGCAAATGGTCAGAAGCATGAGAAATTCGCCAATTATTTCGTCGACGTCGACGAATTTGTGCGAATCGTTCAAAAGGTTTTCTCGATGATTCGACTCATCAGTGTCGCATGATTGATTGAATTCTAGATGGTTGAGCACGTTCGCCGACATCCGAAATTTGTGGCGGCTCGGCGAGTAATTCGCCGAAAATTGATGAAATCGCGAACCGAACTATAAACTAGTGAAAACATTTGCGGTGTGTTTCACACGGGTCCTTTTGTTGTCTGACTAGTAGCGAATGTGCTGTCTTTTCTATTGATATGCCATTAGAAAGTCGAATATGTGTGTAATTTATGTCGCTGAAAATGCTTAAAAAATCCTTTTTGATTATCACGTCTTTCTGATTAGCAAATAAAAGGCATTGAAGCAATTCAAGTGGAAATTTCTCATTTTTATTATTCATCTGACCACTCTCAATTTTCAGTGAAATTTTCCAGACAAGCCGACACCATTTTTTCAATAATATTAAAATGCTATGTAGACCTCCTGTGATGAAGATGTAATATTTTTTAAATTTTAAAATATCAAATAATCAAATCGTCCTTGCGATATAAACCGAAAAGTGCGTTTATTTTTTCAATTCTTCCGTTTATGCACCTTCTTCGTGAAATTAAACACACATATTCCGTCGTTAACCAGCTGATTCATCGAATTTCGAACACAACCAATTATCATTATTCCGTGGACGGTTTTTTGCCGAATTTAAAGAAAAAAGTGTGTGTGCTCGATGTGTAGTCATGATTGTTCAATTATTTGGCTTCGGCTGAAAAACAGGAACAACGAGTTCCGGATTAAAAAAACAACATGAGTCGGTTTTCTAGAGACGTAGAGAGCCCAATCACTTGGGGCGAATTGAATTTGTTGCAAGACAACGTCACCGCCATTTTTGGCATGTTCGGCGCAAAGCTGAAATCTGAAAAAATGAATGATCGTTTTCCCAATGAATCATTTTCCATATATAGGCACTCACCGTGTATTTCCGTCATTGTTATTCAGCTGAAAAAAATCGTGTTCAATTATTTCATGTTTTTTTATAGATGTTTTTTTATAATTTTCAAGCGGCGACGACAGCTGAAAAACTCGCCGACACAATTTTCAATGGTTTTTTTTTTCATTTTTCTTTAATTATACTTTCTGTCCCATTGCGATTTAAATCCTTATTATGAATTCCACAGAGTGCTCATTAAACAAAAAAAATATATATATATTATTGTTAAATTTGGCATTGAATTGCACGATAACAAATGTTATGGTAACCATTGGGAGTATGTTCGCAAATGGGAAATTGAATTAATCTTATCTGATTAAGAATGATTACATTTATCAATCAGTTGATCGAGCATGTTAGAGAATTAGCAGAATATGAATATTCGATGGCAGTCATTCATTTTCTCATTTGCTTCATTGCTTTAATAGGTTTTAGACCTAAAGTTCTAGTGATATCATATTGAAAATTTGACATCACAAGTTTCATATTGCCCTTCGTAATCAAAAAATATAGCATTTTTCAAAAAGAAAAACCATTTCCTCAAATTTTCCATCGTTTAATATCATACTTTCATGTAATTCGTCTATCACATTAGTCCTTATTCTTTACTCATTCAATTGCGTTCTGGAAATATCAAAAAAAAAAATCATTTCTAATCCCTATAATTTTACCACCACCAAATTATGTACCTTCGAATACACATTCGTTTTTTTCTTCGAATGTATTAACAATATTTTTGGTTTCAGCAATGGAAAAAGCTGTTCTCACCTCATTCATCATTTCATTTGTGCTAGCACGACTATTATTCGGCTTTATCTATAATAAGAACAAGTACATGTTCAGCTTTCTTACATTAGTCTTCATTATAGTAAGTTTAAAAATGCTCGGTAAAAATTTGCAATTTTTGAGCAGACTTTCAAATATTTCAGCGTAATTAAAATGCATGCATTCATGCGGTGAGATTGCATAATAATTAAATTGGTATGTGTAAATTGTGCAAACACACCGCATGAAGACTGCGGACTTGCATTTTGATTTTCGACTGAATGTTTCAAATTCTAGAATTTATACGTTTTTTGGATTAAAAATAGGTAACTCTTTTAATCGAAATGTTCTAGATCAAAATATTATTCGATTATTTGATATTCGACGGAATTTCGAGGCTAATGTCGTCGCGAAAATCTAATAATATCATTATTTGCATAGAAGTATTGTATACCTATTTTTCGCTATTCTGTCTAACGTATTCAAATTTCAAAAATCAAAAATTGGTTGCTTTAATTATTTACCTTCATATTTTTATAATCCCATTATTCCTATCAATTGCTTTGATATTGGTTATAGAGGTTTGAAATTAAAAAAAACGGTTCCAAAATAATTGGAAACATTTCAGAGAAATATTCAAGTTATTATAATTTTAGTTATAGTTAATCACATATATATTGGTAGGGTTATTTCTTCGAAAAAGTATATTCAAACTTAAATCGTGATTTTTAGAAGGCTGGTACTTCAAAACGACAATCTCTCATGCCCACAGTGGAGTCTACTCGAAATATTCCCGCATTTTCTTCTATAATTTTGTAAGATTTACCAAAAAAAAGAATCTTTTCAAGGATTAGAATAATTCCAGCTTCTTCTAAAGTTCGTTTTCGATGATGTTCTCCGTATATTCTATGTGGCCCAGGTGGCATTTGAAGTCGAAGATATATGCGATACTCCTCTTTTCCATGCTCAAATCGTCTCTACATTTACAATTGCGCTGGTTTTCGAATGCCAAAAGGAAAATCATGTAGTGAATTTGAATGCAAAACTCGGTTAGTTCATTTTTCCTTGAAAAATAGAGGTTGGGTTGCTAAAGGCTTTTGGGTTCCTAGTAGAGGTGAAATTCTGTTATAGATTCCACTTGAAAAAATGTTTTAGAATAATAAAAACTGTGTTTCATTTTTAATGTATTTTTTTTAGAAACGAAGCTATTCTCTTATTTTGGCTACCTTTTTATTTATTATCTCATGATTCAGAAATTATTCTAACTATTCGATTGGCTAGATAATCATTATTATAAATACCTAAATAAGGTTTTGATGAGTTGAGAATATTAAATAGTATGTCATTAATGACTACCGGAAAGTAGTCTAAAGGCCATCACAAATCATTCCTCGCCATCACAATTTAATATCTGAAGCACATTATTGAAAGTTTAAAATTGATAAACTATTATTAAATTGTACCGCCAAAGCCACACGCCACCAAAGCCACCTACGCACACAGTGTAACCTTTATATTGCATTCGTGTGCCCCTATAAAAGGGAGCCTCAACGCCCATTTTTTCACTTTCTTTCCCTTCGTTGGTTGTTGTTCAACTTATATTCAATTTATGTCCAATTCATGTTTAACTTATTTTTAATTTATTTCTTTTACAATAAAGTTTAATTACCCAAGTTTGAGGTTGTCCATCTCCTACTGGTTAATAAATAGTAACATGTGAGCCAAGAATATAAGAGAAGGATAAAATCTAGCCAAATCCTCATCTATTTGACTGTTTTGACTCATAATTCAATTTTCGTACATTTTCCGCACATTTTCTTATCACCATTTTCATCCTCTGGTTATGGTATTGCCGTAAATGCCAAAAAACTGGGCTCAAGTAAAACTGGAGATTTTTGCTCCAAGCTTAAGGCTAGGTTAAAGGCGCACATCGCGCAACGAAACGTTTCTTTACGTTTTTGGAATTTCGACGATTTTTTTCCAAAGCCTCCAATATGTATATAGTAGTCAATAAAAAGCCGGCTCGGCCCAGAATGAAATCTCTTTAATTTCAGTTGAGAATATGATTAAGTCAGGCAAATCTTGAAAACATTTTTGCAACATATGATCGAAGCTCGACGTTACAAATAAAGTTCGAATAAATTTGATTTCTGGTGCTTTTCTTTCTGCCGTAATGTGTTCGTAATTTTCGTTGAACATTCGAAATTTGGGGTGCCAGTCATTTTTTTCTGAAAGGCAGATGCAAAACCGTCTGGCAAATCTTTCAATTAGAAGTTGATTGAAAATAATTATAATTAGTCATCCAATTAATCTAATTAGAATGACTGTTCCCATTTGCAGATCGGTTTGTTGCCTACTTCAGATGCCGTTCACCTCATCCTCGGAAGCCGATTGACACTGAATCTCAGTCGCATTCCATCGGCACCACACAAAGCTATCTTTTCGACAATGCTGCAGAAGAGCTAATGTTCCCTGCTGAAAATGAGCTCAATACCATAAGCGAGATATCAACAGTGGTGCCGAGTGATTTCTCCGTCGATATGAATATTGATAGCGATTGTCCTAGCCTTCCTGGGGTAACTTCAAGCTGTCACTTGGTCTTCGTTGACCTTTCTTTTTTTTTTAGGAAATCTCACCAAACCCTTCTGAAGTGTTTCCGCCGTCGTTGAAGACTAAACGATATCAGAATCGGGTCGACACGATTCAGAAGAATCTCAAGAAGTTCTATTCGGAGGATTGCACGAGTTCTCAAAATTCCACCGGCCGACACACTTGCCCATAATTGATTCCACAACATTTATTATATTTTATGTACATACATATAAACGTGATGGTTGCTTCTTCAAGTGCATTTCAAAAAATCGGGGATGTTTTGAATTTGGAGCACCTGCTTCGCGTTCATATCATAGTCGGAGACGGTCGCCTCGTCGAACATCCAATAGGCGTCGGCGAGACCTTGTTGTTTCTCGATGCCCGAATGGAAATCGACGGGCAGATTCGGGAAGTAGCGGTTTTTATCATTGAGGAACGATGGCGAATTGTGACCGATGTTGTATGTGGCGAACACGTTGCCCTGCAAAATGAAGAAAAAAGATGATTGCATGATGGGATGGATTACCGAGAGAAGAATGACGCTACCGTTGTTCAGCGGAAACGCGCCTTGCGGGTAGAATAGGACGCGGTCGTGAAGTTCCTTCGGATATCCGGGAGCCTCACTTGAAATTTTCAGCAATTTTGTAAGTTATGGAAATCAATGACAAAACCTGAATGTGACGCCGTCGTTCTCATATCCATAAATGGTGCGCTCGACGAACAATAGAAGAAGGCCGCCGGATGTGACTGTGGCATTGACAAATTGTGGTCCGCGTGGGAAGACTTGTTGAATTTTGCGTCCCTCGTCGACGAACATGCGATCGTTCACACGGTAGACCTTGTCGTGGCGGAATAGCAGCCATTCGCGATCATTCACTGAAAATATGTCGGCAAAATTTTTGTCTTCTTCAATAATTTGTTGAGCGGCCGTCAATATAAACGACCTGGCCGCGGAATTTCACGGCCACGCGAGGTAGCTCGAATTTTTCCAAAGAATAATGATCCCCAATTGTTTTTCATTTTTCCATTAAAAATAACATACATGCCGCAATCGAGTCGATATGTTTGGGGCATTTCGAGTTGAACGGATCGCCGGAAATCGTCTGTGAATCCTCAGTCGATTGAAGCCCTGAAAATCGATCTTTGTGACCAATCAGAGCCGAAAGGTCAAACACATGACACATCGGTTTTGTGTTTTGCGGCGGCAGATGGAACGGCCAGTCAAAAAAAAAAAACGAAACGAAAGAAAAATGAAGAAGCGACTAGCTTTCCATGTGTGTTACCTTCTTGAGTCTCGTTCACCTCGTCCAGCTCATTAGGACCTCTAGTAGCAGCAATATCAATCTGATTCGTCGACTCAAACGCGAGACATTTGAGGGCGATTAGATTGAACGCGATGAAATAATGAAAAGCAAGAGCAATCAACATCATTTCACTTCGGTGCCAGCACTTGTTGTGAAATAACTCGGCGAAATTTTTGGGGGGCACCAGGAGAGAGTTGCGAGATTGAGAGATTCTCGCGAAATGAGGTACCAACCCATTTTTTTCTCGTGAGCTTGGAATTCGCTTGTGCTGCTGTTTTTTGACCTACCATATAATTTGCGAAATTCGAGACGATCAACATTTGGCACATCGTCAATTGTGCCCGACGGCAGGTAAATCGGCTTGAAGATTGGGTGCATTATCGAGCTGAAATTAGAAATCGCTGATAGTCGTCAACTCCCCAAAAGCTGTCCGTAGATGAAAATCAATTTCGATATTGCTTCAATATCGGATACCATCAATGCCTACCCTCTATAGAAGCTGTGCGGCAATCCGAGAACGTGCCCAATTTCGTGGAGTAGCGTATGGAAGAGTGAGATTCCCCTCTGAATCGGCGCGCATTTTTCAAACCACAACGAATTATGATACCGGTGTCTCAATTTTATAGGCCCATTCTTGATTTTTGTCCAGAATTATATGACTTTGAACTGGTTTCGAGGCGCTGGCGGCGACTGAAATTCAAATCAATGAATTAAAGAAAAAACGCAAATACGAACTCTTCAAATAGCTTTGCGGCACATCATAAAACGTGATCGTAATATCGGGCATTTTATCATTTTTCGATTCGACAAACTGGAATCCGGTGGCTTGGGTCCATTTGAGGAATGCTTCCCTTGCGGCGCTCCTTATTTGGGTTTCGGTTAATGTCTTCGGTGTGTTCACAATATTCCACGTTAATCGCTTCTTTTTCCAAAGCTCCTTTTTGTCCGCAGCTGGAATTGGCATCCCTTTGCTCATATCGTTATTGGCGCATCGCCACTCGTTCATTTTCGCCTGTGTCGGAACATCAACGATTCCTGAGGAATAATAAAGGAACGCCGCCTGGAATCGTCTGAAATTCTCGATTTTCATCCAACTCTAAAAAAAACGCGTTTCGTTCGACTTTAAAGCTTCGCTTAGTTGAGCCTTCGTCGATTGAGAAGGTGATTTTGGTGCTGTCGGACCCCTTGAAGACATATATCCGAATTTGAAGAGATAAATCTGAACATTTTTGATAGTGATCTCTATTAGTTTCCTTCTAAACGAACTCGTTTCGCCGATATCTTGTGACAGTTTATTTAAGGAATTGGTTGATGTCATAGTTTTTTTTAATTGGATTTTTTTGAAAACTTGATTTAACGGATCACTTTTTTGGAACATTCGAGAAGGAATTCGTTCCGAAGAAAAAAGTTCGCTAACATTTAGCATTTTATAATAATTATTCGAAGAAAATATTTATTACTTTTAATTTGAATTAAATTCGAAAAAAATGCGGAAGTATGACTCACTTTGGCCTCATCTTCGAGCTCTTTTTGCACCTGATTCTGATTAATATGAATACCAGGAACGCCGGCCCGCACAACCCCAACCACCCAAATACACAGAAAAAGATGATGAACGGCGTGGTTCCTCATTGCAGAAAATATTGGAACCGACGAAATGAATCGAAATTGGAGAGCGATGCGTCGTCGCCGCCTTCGAAATCAGTTATTGAGCGAACAGGAGGAGAGTGAAAATGAAAAAACAAACCCGAGATAGATGGAAATGGAAAACACACACATACAGAGACGCGCAATAGAATCGGGGGTCAGATGCGCTGATAGCAAATCAGACATCGAAGTTGGTCAATTTGTTTGTTTCGATTTGAAAAATCTCAAATTTTATTCAAAATTTAGCTTCAATTAACCACTTTTCCAATGGACATCGACTTGTCAGCATGCATATACTTTCCAGGCTTCTTCGACAAGCCGAAAAGCCGCTTCACATTTCTGTCAAATATCAAAAGAATGTAGGGCATTGCCAATGTGACCTGCAATTATTCATAATCAATTCAGCAAATTTGAAAATGTCGAACCATATCCGAAGTGCAAGACAATATTAAATAACTAAGCCGATATTCTTTATGAAATATAATTCCCAAGCTAATAAAAATCTGCAATTTGATTGAAAACACGAATCGAAAGTGGCAGAATTACCGTGAACATAAGATTTCCAGACATGATTATACCATTCGCAATTACTATATTCGTCAATTTCTGAGCATATTTGAAATGCCGTTTGGAATTGACTTCTGAAATTCCATTCTCCCATTGCAATTTTGATATAGTCTTAAAAAAAAGCGGCTAACGTAATTGGCCGCTGTAAGGCCAACGTCCTCAAACGCGTTGCGATCATACGATCATGTTTTATTTTAGGGTTTTCATCATTTTTGAAAATAATTAAAAAAATGTTTAAGTTGATATCTGCCGATGATATTGAGCGAATTCTGAAGAATCCGGAAGATATAAATTTATAATAATAAAAATAAAAATAAAAAGAAATAAAAAATAAAGGCGAACAAAACGCGTCCCGATGGCAGAAAAAAAACCATTCTTTTTTGGAAGCATATTTTTATTTTTCAGAAAATTATAATTGTCTGTGCAACACTGACACGACAATTTACACACATTTCGCCTTACTTGACATTGATTTTGAGACATTAATAGCCGTCAAAACTCCAGTGCAAATCGTCATTGAGAAATAAAACATTGCAAACAATGGATTAACCATATATATAAGTGAAGAAACTCGCTGTAAAGAACAAAAGAACAAATATTCAAAATGGGTCTTGCCACGAATTAAACCTTATTAACAAACTTTACAAGAGCCCCGTCACGAATCGTCACAGACATCGCATAGGAACCAGACATCCAAAACGGCGAAGACACAATTGTACTATAAATGATACCAATTACAAGAACTAGAAAATAATATCGGCTCCATTTCTAAATTTTACGAATTTCTTTAAATATCGATTTTCCATTTTCGTTACCATGTTTGCCGTAGTGCTTATAGAAATTGTGAGCCTATGAAGAAAAAGAGCGAAATTGGAAACATTTTGCATATGGAAGAACCTTGAACAAAACAGAATTAATTCTTGATTTTCTGATTTCATTTTGGTACCATTGACACAAAAATCCAGAAAATGTCAGGACCCCCGGAAGAAGCTGCTCGAATAGCACTAAATACTTGATGCCGGTGTCGAATTCGCTGATGCGAATTGCTGGCCACGTGTTGAGATAGCAGAATATATTCTAAGCAAGATCGTATTTTGAAAACGGAAGTTTGATTTCAAGATTTATACATAAACGTTATTTTCCCATGATACTCACCACTAACAAATCAACTTGTAATACCCTATAAAAGGAATTTCTGAAATCATTGTGAATTCCGAAAGAAAATAAGAATATGATCATGAGTATTAGTGAAGGACCCCCATAAGCTAGTTGAATTATTCGTATGAGACAAATATATACAGTTTGCATTATCTGAAAACATGAAACGTTTCGAAGAAATATATTCATGAAGAATGAATCAAGAATTCACATGAGAGAACAAATATAAGTTAATAATGATATGAAGAATAAGTTAGTTAACGATTCGCTGATTTAACAAACTCGAGGATTTGCTCATAAAGTCGCTTCTTGATGTCAGTTGGCACTTCGCGACGAGCCATGTCCTTGACGGCATCGAACAGCTCCTTTGCCGTCATATCGTCGTCAGATTTCTGGAAGAATACGACGTTTATAATGAGAAAAAAAAAATATTTGAAATTGCTAGGAAAGGTATAATTATGAACAGGTGAAATTCTATAAAAAGTGTGTCGAAGTAAAGTACTGCAGGTATTTTTGAACGTTGGACGTTTGAAATACCATAGCAAAATAAGAGCATAATTGTGGACTATCGCATTTTCCAGGCGGAAATTCAAATTCGCATTTAAACAGTGCGAATTCGAATACCGTACTCTGGATAACCTGCGAAGCTAATTCATCATAAATCTAACACAGGGTGCTCGTTTTTTCGCAAATGTAATATATATTTTTTATCGAAGCAGTGATTCAGAAAAATAGATATTTCTTCTTTTAGATAATAATTTAGACTTGACTTAAAAAAACCAATTTAATGAATTAATTTCACTGGTATCTCAATTCTAATAAAATTTTAATAAACTAATAATACGACTCATTGCACAAAACAGGAATATTTCTTGGTTCTGTGGGAAAAACGAAGGCCATGCCATTTCGTCGACAACAAAAATTTCGCCCGATTTTTTGATCTTAAAAAACTCGTCACCTTTTTACAGAAAAAAACTAATGTTTCGTACGTTTTACTTTGTCGAGAACACATTACTTACGCTCAATTGTTTCTTGATCTCCTCTCGTACAGCTGCTTCCCACGGACTGCTTTGAAGATCGGCTAGAATTTTGCTCTAAAACAAATGTTTAAAAATAATCATTCAAAAAATTCACTTTTATCAATGTAGATTCACCACTGTCGTGGAATTGGAGCTCAATTGCTTCTGGATTTTTGCGCATAATCATGTCGTCACCCATTTTGTTTTAATATGCGCTGGAAATAAGTCGGATGAGTTATTGAAAAAATATGATTTACATTTTAAATATTAAAAATTAAAAAAAAAAACAAACTCTTCCGGTTGAACTACGTTAAAAAAAAACTATGTTTAAAAAAAAATGAAAAAAATCGCGCCACAAATACGTTAAACAACGGGCACTGCGTAAATTTCGGTGCCTCGTACAGTCTCCGCGAAAATCAAATATTCAAATGCTGCTAATGTTTCGTATTTATTTCGATTATTAATCATGAATTCTCTTAAATCTTATGCATTAATCCATTTTAAAAGTAATACCAATGATTAAATAATGTTTCAGTGTCTCAAATCCGTCTAAATGAATTAAACAATGGACTGTTATTTTAATCCTAAAAAACAAAACAATAAATACAATCGATTTCCACATGATTTATATGATAGTCTTGAATCCAAACACTACAGCATCCCTCCAGCAGAAAGAAATGAGCATGTAAGTTTAAAAATTAATATTGAAAATATCATAAATGTGCAATTTGTTTTTAGGATGGCTGGGTGACTGCCAGATTTTCACCTCACCGAAATCAAGAGAACATTATATATCTAGGTGATGATCCAGGAAATATTGGGGTATTCAATGCCGATCTGATTTGCGATCCTCACGTGCCTATTGAGAAAAAGCGATTACATTGTGAATTTCGATTAAATTAGAGAATTTTTGAAGAAAAAAAAACGATTTTCAGTTTTCTCTGCTCATTATGGAACAATTATGGATATCGTCGGAGTACCACGTAAAGAATCGCAAATTGTCTCGATTTCCGGCGATTCGACGATCCGATGTTGGGATCTCAATCAGAAAGAAGATGATAGAAAATCGGAGCTCTTCCTCGGCCATGAAGGCTCGGTGCGAGCCATTGATTTTGTACCGGATGATTCAAGTAGACAAATTGAAAAAAAAAATAGTTTAATTCATAAATGTTGTTATTTTTTAGATGTTTTCGTCACCGGATCGAGAGATGGACAGGTGAAAGTTTGGGATATGCGTGTCTCAAGTTGTCGTAAAAAGGAAAAGGAATATAGACCGCCAATATCGTCCTACAGATGCGCACACCCATTTCTTTGTAAAACAGAAAAAGAAACAAAACGAAATAAATTTTTTCATTTGTTTTAGTAGAAAAAAACAATGGAACGCCTCGATCGAAATCGAAGAAGCAGATTACTGCGACAAGTGTGACAAGCGTGATATTCGTCAATGAGCACACGGTGGCGTCGGCTTCGAGCAGCGCAGAAACGTAAACATGAGAAAAAACATTTAATAGAAAATTGATATGTTTTAGTGGAATTCGGTTATGGGACATTCGAAAATCAACACATAATAATGAAGCGAGCCCAGCGTCAATTTTACAAATTCCAGTCACTAAAAAACGACAAGCAGGTAACATTACTGAGAAAGAAAATACAATAATACATTTGAAATTAATTTGAAAACATGTTGATTACAGGTTTTGGTGTCACATGTCTCTCAATGGATCGGTTTCGTAGCAATTTATTCGCGTCATGCACAAATTCGATAATTTATGAATACGCTACAACAACAACTGACACATCTCCTAGTAAGTGTTTTTTGGGTAAAAAAGAACTTCAAAATGTAAATGCAATTCCAAATGCCACTAACATCATAATTTACTCTTGAGAAAAAAGTCACACTTGCGCCCGCTGAGGATTAATATGGCATTTTAATCACCTCGACATTTTTGATGAAAATGCCTTCAAAATGTTTTTTTTTTCACATTTTCAGAGGAAAATGATGATAAATGAATATGTAATGAAAAAGAGGGATTAATTTTATTCGGAAAATGCACAAAATAAATTTGAATCATTTTCATTTTTGAATATTATTTTTTTAATGCAAAATTGACTTTCGAGATTTTGTCATTTTCTGGATTAAATTATTAACTGACGAAATTTTTTATTTGTTATTTCGAAAAAAAAGAGTAAATTCCGTGAATTGCAGTTCGTGCGTTCAGTGGTGCCGTGATTCGTGATTACTATACCCAAGTCGCATGCTCTCCAATTGGCGACTTCTTCGCTTGTGGTAGTGAAGATAATCGAGCCCTTATTTGGGATCTTCAAGTTCTTTTCCATTCCAATCATACCATGACATCCATTTAACATTCAGGATCAATATAGCTACGCGAATTCTTGGTATGAGCCTGACGAGGCTTTGAAGCAGCGAACAACTCTGCCAAAGTGGTCTTGTGGTGGGCATGAGAGCAAGGTTTTGGGGGTTGGATGGAGTGTGAATGCCAAGTAAATCGCCTTAATTGATATTTTCATGTTTCTTCCTGTGTTTCAGGTATTTTATGACCCTAGATGACGATGGATTGAGGATATGGACTGGAAACCAAAAAGTTCAGCCATGGAAATGCCTTGATAATGTAAGAGAGTTGTTTTTCCGTTTTTGCAACATAATTTTTTAATTATTAGGAAAAATCACCTGTGAAATCGTTTAATGATTCATCACCTGGTTTACTTTACGAAAAAGCCGCGAGGTACAAGTTGTCCGATCAGGAAGAGACAATGATCCAAATTGATGATATGAGTTTGACACCGCGGAGAAGGAGCAACTCGATTCAGATAAACACCCCGAAGAAGAGAATCCCGAAGCGGCCGCTGATGAGGAGTCCGTTCAAATCGCCGTCGAAGTGCTCGCCGCAAGCCAAGATGTCCAAGTAATGTTTCGATTCACGTTTAGCCAAGTCAACATTGATTTTCAGAATCTCGTCATCGCCTCCGAAATCCATATTATCTGCTGTAAATATTCCCAATGGCGAAATGACGCCAAAACAGAAAAAACCGAAATTTAATCCATTTTTCTCCAGGTTTGACTATGCGCATCAAACAAATTCACAATGTGCTTAAAAAATTTTCAGATATCCCACTGAAAATTTGCCAAATTTTGTGTATGATCGATTTGTTGCCAGCCTGATTGGTGAGAAATCTGAATTGGAGCCCCATCAAGAGTTGAGCAAGGTTTGTTTGATATTTGCTTTCTTTTTTTACAATATTTAATTATTTAGACGAGCCGCAAACGGATTGACGATTGGTGGCAGAAAACGACAAAATCGCAAGAGAATTGTGGGGTCTCGCCGCGAACGAGGTAATCGTGCAACATTCCAAATTTTCACTTAATAGTGTCCAAGCCCCTAATTATGCTCTAATAATTTTCTGGAGCGTTTCGCAATCATTTTCTATATAAATGTTAACTATAGGTTGCCGAGCGTTTCGGAATTTGGCGAATCGGTTTGCTCTCGGGTGATATCGGAAGAGCAACGGCTATTGTCTCCGAAAAAGTTGATTGTTAAAACGGCGACAAGTGCGGTTAAAACTACGGAAAATTGTCAGAAAATAAGTACGATTTATTTTTTTTTTAGAAAAACTTCAAAATTGTGTTTCAGCACCGAATCGTAGAACAAGTAGGAACCTGTTACATTATTTCAATAAGAAAGACGACTAACTTATTTTTATTCACTTTTTCCAAAAAAGTGCTGTAAATGCTTTGTTATGTGCCGAAACTTTGTAAATAAATTGGTTTATGTTGTTAAACTTCAGAATTAATATGTTCCATCAGAGTCCGAATGGCAACGTAGGCCTCGCGATGAGTGAGCTTCAACTCCTTTGTGGGGAGTTTGAAGTTGATTCTGTAAGGAATCGAGTTAAAAACAGATTTGTTCCAGCCAACTTACTCATCACTTTTTGGAGATAATTCGATAGTGAACGTGTATTTGATACCAATGCTTTTCGCCCAGTCATCGGAAGCCCCAGAAGCCGGATCTTAAAACAATCTTTGAAATCAAGAAGAAATTTAGAACACAATACACATATCAGCACTGTTAATCACTTTATAGCGCACACCAGTGTCATTCTTGATAGCCGTTGACATTTTGTTAGCGACATGAATCTGAAATTTTCATATATACAGTACCGTGCAGTAAGATATACAATTTCACTTTTTTAATCATAACTTTCTGAAAAGTTGACCAATCGATCTGAAATTTTTGGACAAAACAGATAGTGTGTTTCCAAACATAATTTATTCATTTTGGGGTACTATAGACACAATTTTTGTGTTTTGGACCTTTTTTTGCGTATTTTCAAAAATGCGATTTTTTTTAATTTTTAAGTTTTTTCGATTTTTTTTTAGATTTTCAATGTTAACATCAGTTTTTTTTATTTGTTTTAGCAGAAGACGATCAAAATGATCAAAAAACATTCTATCAGACATTTTAAAGCAATCAAGGATGACCGAGCACAAGGTCTTTTCATCCAATGTCTATCACACCAGTTGAACTCATCAACTTGGACCATTCGTGTATGTTTGAAACCTCGATCGGATTCCAAACCACTTGGAAATCCTTCCAAAACATCCCCGGCAATCAATCGAACAATTGTAAGAATCAGCAAGAGCTACCCACGTCTATCCGCTTCCGAGATTAATCGGCAACTGAGTCAGTTCTATGAGGTCAACGTAGATTTTTCCGAAAAACCATGACTTTTTTTCATCAAAAGTCCCATACAGATCAGCATTGATACTGTCAAGCGTCGTCTACGTGGTTCTGGATTATTTGGACGTCGGTCTGTCAAAAAATCTCTCCTTTCGGAGAAGAAACGCCGCGCCTGTTTGAAGTGGGATAAGGAGTTTTTGAATTGGAGGTTTCGACAATAGTCAAAGGTCGTATGGAGTGATGAATCGAAGTATATCTTGCTCGGAACGGATGGTATTACCTTTGTGAGATGTTCGGACGGCAAAAGATTCGATCCAAAGCATCAATTACCAACAGTGAAACATGGAAGAGGAAGCGTGATAGTTTGGGGATGTTTTACTGCTTCTGGAGCTGGCCCACTTCATCGAATCGAAGGAAATATGGATCGATTTGCGTATAAAGACATTCTCGAGAACCATATGCTTCCGTTTGCAAAGTCTTTGCTCGGTGTGGATACTTATTTCAGCAGAATAATGATCCTAAACTTTTCTCTCGCTACATCAAAGAGTGGTTCTAGCAGCGTCGGGTGGCCGTCATGGTCTGACCAAGCCACTCACCTGTCTTGAACCCCATTGAACATTTGCAGGATGATCTTGGTAGACGTCTTGGTGGTCAAACTGTACAAAATGTGTCGAAATGATCGAGCAGCTGAGAAGATCATGGATGGATATTCCAATTTCAACCCTCCCGAAGTTGACGAGGCCATGGGTCTCCGATATCAAACTGTGATCGATGCAAATGACATGTCAACAAGATATTGAATTGTTTTAAGCATCCTGACAGATAATTGTGGTTTTCCATATTATTTCAAGTCGTACCGGTATCAAAATTATTAAAGTCGGTTTTTCGCTATTATGGATTTTCTGATTTTTTGCCAATAAAATTTTTCCTAATGTGTTTTGCACCTTCTAATTTTGTTACATAATCACTCTATCGATGCTTAAAGTTGTCCAAAAATTTCAGATCGATTGGTCAACTTTTCAGAAAGTTATGATAAAAAAAGTGAAATTGTATATCTTACTGCACGGTACTGTATATATTTATATCATTTTCGATGCTCCCGAAACGTGCCCAACGTATAGGGAACTGACACATTTTTTGCCGTTGGCACAATTTTGGTGCCAAATTAATTTTTCATCAGCTTCAAGTTTTGTTTTTTGAGGACATTTTTTTTCTAACGTAAGCTACACGTTCATTGCGACGAGCCGTGATGTGATTTCTTACTAAATCTTCAACATCTTCCGGATAGGTATCGAAGGCATAGCCATATGGATACAGAATCTGTTCGCCATAAGCGTGGAAGCTAACGTAGCCTCGTAGCGATTTCATTTCAGATAAAATTCCTTGGATGTTGTAATACACTTCAATCTCACTGTATGGTTTGTCTCCTCCAAAAGTGTCTCTGTAAGATTTTCATGATTAAGAATATGTAAAGCAAACGAACGAGCATGAATTGTTGCTGGTTCCAGCTCTTGCCCAATCAATTGGATAGTTTCGATTTCCGTCGACACCTGAATTTTCGATGCGAATGACGAAGGCTCGTTTGAAATGAATACCGAAACATTGCCCCTGTCTCGATCGCGTTTTTCGCCACATTCTGTTTTCAGGACCCGTTGAACTGTACATGTAGCCATCAGGATTCAAATTCGGGACAATGAGCAATTCCAGGTTATTTAACATATACTCGACTTCTGGATTATTGGCTAGCTTAAATTTAAAGAATTTTTTTGGAAGCTTTTAAATTATTAAGTACCTCATAGATGAGATCAATTGCCGCAGAACTGGCAACCCATTCACGTCCGTGAATGCCGGCGTCAATCCAGATCTTCTTCTTGTTCGTATTTTTCGATTCTCTGTTCGTTATCTAAAATTTAATTTCCAGATTTGTTTGCATTCCATGTATACCTTGACGAGATAGAGCGGTTGCATTTCGTATGAATGTCCGAATGGCAAGATTTCAACTTTATCTGGATTGCGTTCCTGAACCGTCCGAAGAAAGCTGATTTGCTGAAAATTATTTCTAGATGACAATTTTATTTCAATCAAGACTAACATCATTATAAGCGAGATAGTGGTTTCTCACGTCCTCAATTCCAATGTCCAAAAAACGACGCCGGCGAATGTGTCTGAAAATGAGAAATTCTATGAATTGCCTAAAGAGTTCTTAAAAGTATACCTTGAACTTGCAGCGACATCGCAAATAAGGATGAAAACGATGAACACGTGGAGCATTCTCGGCAGAATCATCGAATCAAAATGATGAAAAGCAGGGAAGCCTACGAGAGGCTTATTTTTTTTTTTAATTCGATCATCGATTTCCCAGACGCACAAAAATTCAATATTTTTATTTCGCCGACGCAATCGTTTTGTAACAACACAGGCAGAAAAAAAACGAAATCAACAACACGCTTAGAAATTTGCATTTTGAAAAAGAAAATCAAATTAAAGAATTCACTAGAACCCGTAGTCATTCGATTCATTTTTGGCACCAAAAAAAAATCCTTTATCCTTTTCCAAACGCTCGGGCTCTCGTCGCGAATGCTCGAACGTGTTTGATGGCGGCCACTGGCTGAGCAACGCCGTAGTCTTGCGAGACGACGCGGACCAACGCCAACACCCCTTGAAGCGCTTCTCGATTCACCTTGCTGATGAGCTCTTCGGGAAGTTCGAAGCCGACACTGGAATAACGGGAAAGTTGATAATCAACGGGCTTCAACTAAATTGGTGCTAGCTAACAAAATTTCGGGGACATACAAGTCATCCTCCGGCGACAATTCCATTGTGTAAGCGTACTTGATCCCTCTGGATTTGGCCCAGTCATCAGAAGCACCAGCAGCCGGGTCTGCGATATCAAAATTTATAAGGTATTTGCGGAATTCTGCTTCTTACAAAGCCCGTCTCCACTGTTCTTCACCGTATATTGAGTGTTGCTGACACTTCGAATAGCGTTTGCCATGAGTTGTCCGACACGAATCTATGAAACTCAATAAGCATTTAGAATTCTCCCTTCTTCTCATTTACCAGATCGTTCACATCGCTTGGATATGTGTGCAATGTGTGTCCCCAAGGATACAGAATCTCCTGACCGTAAGAGTGAAGCGAAAGGTAGGCCTTGATTCGTGTCTCCTCGCTTTGAATCGCGTTCGTCAACGCGAGAACCTCTGGCTCGCTTTGCGGTCGCGTTCCGCAATAGATCTCGCTGCAAGTGCTATGGCTGACGCCAAGGGTTCCCCAGTAGAACGGATAGTTTCGATTGCCGTCGGCACCCGAGCATCGGCTATTCGTGTTCCTCGATCTCGTCTTTCTCCACATTCTCTGAACAGTTCTACTGAACTCATAGCCATCTGGATTGGCATTCGGAACGACGACGACGGTCACTCGCCTCAACAGCTGACGATTGATTGGATCGGTGAGCATCTGAATGTTCCAGAATCGATCAAAATCGAATTTTTTTGGTCATACCGTATAGATGAAGTGTAACGCGACGTTGTAGGAGATCCACTCCCTAGCATGCATTCCAGCATCGATCCAGACGATCGGCTTTGAGGGATTGTCCTCACCAAGCTACAATAATGCCCAAATTGTCATTTGATATGCATGGATTCAACAAAACCCTGACGGAAGTGATAGGTCTTCCTTCAAAAGAATTCCCTAGATTCTGAAGTTTCATGAGTCGCGGAAACGATTGGGAAAGTGTGTTAATGAATTGCATTTGCTGAAATCCCAAAATTTAGATTTCGCTTTGAGAGGGAAAAAGAAAACAAATGACTTACCTCTTCATAACTCAAATATCTCGAATTGACGTCATTGATAGTAACAATCTGATTCAATTCTCGCCGCCGTCGAGTTTTGAACGTATTCAGGTCGACGTCTAAAAACCACCGAATTAACAACAAATGTGCCGCTTTTTATATCGGTAAATGCCCGTTTTTTTCTTAGCAAACATTTGGCAATTTCCTATAGAGTTACAAAAAATTTGCAGAAAATTTTGCCATAAAATTGTCAGAAAATAATTGCGATTTGAAAGGAAATACTATTAAATTTTTCTTTTAGCAAGCCTTTTGCAAATTTTTAGCAGAAGTCAATGAGAGATTGCAAAAATTTCTGAGTCTGCTGATTGCCGAGAAATCGCACCTTTCAAATGATATGTGATGTTGTTCTGATCGAAATTCGAACGAATTTTGTTCGCCGACTCGCCGTCGACGAAAAAGTTGGCTTGTCGCTTCTTGCGACTCTCGCCGAGAAAATCCGGCATGAATCCGAGGTTCTTCTCAATGTCTTGAATATACCGCCGACTTCGTTGCGTTGAGATATCGACATTTAAGTATTTGTACCTGAAATGTTGGAATTTCGTCGTCGAATTTTTTTTCAAATTTGAAACTCACCCTTTGTATACTTCATAATTACCCGCGCAGCAAAACCCGGTGAAAACGATTAGTATGAATATAGAATATGGGGACATCGCGAAAAGTTGTGAGCTTGAAAGCTGAAATAAGAATCCATCGGAAATTGAAAATGAAATGAGAAAGAAACGTGAGAAGGCGACAATTTGGTTTGGAAAAAATTGCTGAAAATAATTTGGGAGGCTCATTTTTTTGGTGCGAAAAATGGGAAAAGAAGAAGCATTCCTCCAATATTGCTTTTAAATATTTGCTTTAAAAAAAAAGAACGGACCAACGCAAATATGTCACAAGGGTAAACACATGACGAGCGTTTTTTCTATTTGAAGGAAGACACTTTAAAAAATGAAGCTGCGGACAATTTTTGCCCTGACGATGATTTATACGATTCTAGAGAGTGATAGATAGATAGAGATAGCAAAAGTTAGCCGGCTGAATAAAAACGTCGGTGCCGCCGGAGGTTGAGAACAGATTAAAACGCATTGGCAGCCGACGACCGAGAGGATGATGGCAATTAAAAACAAATGTCAACCATAGCCGCTCGTTTAATTGTGTTTTTTTTTTGTTTCTGTTTCCAATTTTTGTACTACTACCCATCGATCTGGAATCAATATCAACACAACGCCTTTTTTTATTATTATCATTTCGGTAGCAATTAGGCAATGAGACGGACCAGAAAACGGGGGAACCAGACTGGTTCTTTTCTAAACAAAAGACCAAAAAAAGAAGCAACAGAACTAACAAAAATTTGTGTGGGTTTGAACTTGGCGGCCTACAACAAGTGATAATGAACTATCAAGCCGCGGGGGGAACTTTAAACGATTTTCGTCGAGTGACCTTGGACGATTTATGTTGAAGCTGTAATAGATAGATGTATTTCTCGAGTATTACACACACTGTAACCGTGCGTATCATTTGGCATCCTAAAATCGAATATCTATGATAAGATGATACCATCGTTGGATGAGAATTTCCTCAGATCAATGTTAATATCAATAAGTTAAAAGAAAGCTATAGATACTGAATGGACCGAGCAACTAAACTAGAAAAAGGGAAAATGTAAAGGAGAGATTCAAAAAAATTTTAAAAGCTTTTTTTCTTTTTTCAGGAAAACATTTTTTCCTCTTTTTTTCTCTTTTCTAAATTTGCGATATTAATCGATAATTAAAGGGACATTTTCTTACATCCATGGTTCCAATTTTTTGTGCAATAGAAGGAGGAGAAGCTTAAACTGGGAAGATCAGGTTGCATGACAATCAGCCTACTAATTCGTTAGAATTAAAAAAAAACAGAGTGTGATTTGATTTACAACAAAATTCCCCCGGTGTGGATGGAAATTGATGTTTGGGTGGCTGCGTTGACCGCCAATGCCATTTAATTCTTATCAAACCGGAAGTTTGTTTTATAAATTGACCTGAGAGAGTAATACGGGAATTCCGAAATTGCGAACCATTGCCTAGTGGATGAACAAATTATTTTTTTTCTCGAATTTGCGTTCAGAATTCGCTGTTGTATATTGTTGTAATGATTGTTGATAATTTGAAGCATGAAAGGGAAATCAATTCGCTCGAACGCAGAATTTTGCATCGTGATTTTCTAATATAGCAGCTGCGGACAGTTGACGGTTCAGAGTCTTGTGACGAAAAAAGCAATATGAAAGATTCAAGACAGAATTGTTTTGTTTCTATACGGAAACTCGTGAACTCGATAATAAAAGAATTCCAATATAATGAATCATCTTCGAACAATAAAAACCAAAAATTCATTTTTTAAAAAATTTTTTTTTCATCGCAAATTGATTCTTGATATTTTCTCAGCGGCTCTCGCTTCAGCAGCCTCACGATCCCTCTTCTGCCTTATAAGGTTCTCCAGCTCCTTGCGCTTAATCACTAGCAGATTGTCAATAGCAGGCTCTTTGAATAGCGGATCCGATACTGGATCGGATTTAGCGGAGTCGTCGCGATCAATTCCGCCCTCCTAAATGCTCGGTGTGCTGCGGACGCGTTCGCGGGTTACCTTTTGCGGATACACGGCGCTGAACGAGTCCTTCCACATCTCATACGGTGTGAGTGCGCGCATGAATGATTCGGACGACGGCGGTGCACCAATGGCCTACAATAATGCCGAATATGGTTTGAAGGCATCAAGGGAGTCAACCTCAAAACTATCATGACCGCATTTCACGAAAAGCGGCTTGTTGTGATCGATCATGTAGCCCTGAGGGCAAACGGTTCCAAACGCAAAATGACTCGTCATGTTTTTGACAAGTTTCGCGAATTGTTCCATTCGCGACGAGTACATCTGAATGTCGTCAGATGATGTCGAGAAATTTTTCGATCAAACCATCAAATTCGCGCCGTAGTAATGGGCGATGAAGCGCAGAAATTGGCAAACACTTCGACGTTTTTCTGATTCGAAATTCTGCAAATCCAGATGAATCTCGTCGGTTCTTGGATTGATCCATCGTTACCTGAAATTCATCATACTTCGAGCCAACAATGGTGATCGGGATCAAACAGGGCTGCGCGATTTTCATATCAGCTTCCTGAAATTTGTCGGCATTTGAAAAAGAAAATGATGGGCGTCACCACCTCATATTTCTCTAATCTGATGGCTTGTTTATCTTTCAGACGATTCTGCAGATTCACATCGTTCTTGCATAAATTGTCGATGATGCGCTTCAGACTTTCCATGAGCTTCTCCGCGGTCAACCAGAATTCCTCAAGTTTTGTCAAATCCAGAAGAATTATTGCCGATGCAACCCTGAAGTTTAAGATTCTTTTTTCAAAATACAGTACCGTGCAGTAAGATATACAATTTCACTTTTTTTATCATAACTTTCTGAAAAGTTGACCAATCAATCTGAAATTTTTTACAAAACGGATAGTGTGTTCCCAAACATAATTTATTCATTCTGGGGTACTATAGACGCAATTTTTGTGTTTTGGACCTTTTTTTGCGTATTTTCAAAAATGCGATTTTTTTTAATTTTTAAGTTTTTTCGATTTTTTTTAGATTTTCAATGTTAACATCAGTTTTTTTATTTGTTTTAGCAGGAGACGATCAAAATGATCAAAAAACATTCTATCAGACGTTTTGAAGCAATCAAGGATGACCGAGCACAAGGTCTTTTCATCCAATGTCTATCACACCAGTTGAACTCATCAACTTGGACCATTCGTGTATGTTTGAAACCTCGATCGGATTCCAAACCACTTGGAAATCCTTCCAAAACATCCCCGGCAATCAATCGAACAATTGTAAGAATCAGCAAGAGCTACCCACGTCTATCCGCTTCCGAGATTAATCGGCAACTGAGTCAGTTCTATGATGTCAATGTAGATTTTTCCGAAAAACCATGACTTTTTTTCACCAAAAGTCACATACAGATCAGCGTTGATACTGTCAAGCGTCGTCTACGTGGTTCTGGATTATTTGGACGTCGGTCTGTCAAAAAATCTCTCCTTTCGGAGAAGAAACGCCGCGCCCGTTTGAAGTGGGATAAGGAGCTTTTGAATTGGAGGTTTCGACAATAGTCAAAGGTCGTATGGAGTGATGAATCGAAGTATATCTTGCTCGGAACTGATGGTATTATCTTTGTGAGGTGTTCGGACCGCAAAAAATTCGATCCAAAGCATCAATAACCAACAGTGAAACATGGAAGAGGAAGCGTGATGGTTTGGGGATGTTTTACTGCTTCTGGAGCTGGCCCACTTCATCGAATCGAAGGAAATATGGATCGATTTGCGTATAAAGACATTCTCGAGAACCATATGCTTCCGTTTGCAAAGTCTTTGCTCGGTGTGGATACTTATTTCAGCAGAATAATGATCCTTAACTTTTCTCTCGCTACATCAAAGAGTGGTTCTAGCAGCGTAGGGTGGCCGTCATGGTCTGACCAAGCCACTCACCTGTCTTGAACCCCATTGAACATTTGCAGGATGATCTTGGTAGACGTCTTGGTGGTCAAACTGTACAAAATGTGTCGAAATGATCGAGCAGCTGAGGAGATCATGGATGGATATTCCAGTTTCAACCCTCCCGAAGTTGACGAGGCCATGGGTCTCCGATATCAAACTGTGATCGATGCAAATGACATGTCAACAAGATATTGAGTTGTTTTAAGCATCCTGACAGATAATTGTGGTTTTCCATTTTATTTCAAGTCGTACCGATATCAAAATTATTAAAGTCGGTTTTTCGCTATTATGGATTTTCTGATTTTTTGCCAATAAAATTTTTCCTAATGTGTTGTACACCTTCTAATTTTGTTACATAATCACTCTATCGATGCTTAAAGTTGTCCAAAAATTTCAGATCGATTGGTCAACTTTTCAGAAAGTTATGATAAAAAAAGTGAAATTGTATATCTTACTGCACGGTACTGTATGTATAATCCGACGTTTCGATCATTCGATCATCATCAGGGGGAAGTCAATTCACCTACAAAATAATAAGTGTGTTTCGGATAGGACATTGTTTGTGTTGGCTCTTGATGTGTGTTTTATATTTTTGATTGATACGTATAATTTAACTCTCTTCGTTTATTTCTTCTCTGCCCCATCTATTACTAATATTTTGTAGGTAAATTGACTTCCCCTGATGATGATCGAATGATCGAAACGTTGGATAAAACATTTAAATAGTGTGGAAGATTTACAAAAATAAAAAGGGTCCAATCAAGAAGACTTTTTCAACTTAACAATTCTATAGATTCGTATCTGCGGACATTTCGCGGGATCCACTCACTCAATAGTTTTCGCATTAATCGGCACCGACATGAGATTTGCCACCGAATAGCCGCCGCCAAGTTCCCAAAGGTTCGCAATGTCTTTGACCTTCAAAATTGGATATGTTTAAAGGCGCATGCAACAAAAGGAAAAGCTCACGTTTCCACGTGTCCTTCTCGCATATAAATATTCAAGTCCAACGGATTCTTTGATCTCCTCTTTGCGCTCGAAGAAATCCATTTGAAACGAGGATTTTCCCTACAAAAATGATCACATAATTCAAATGAAAACTAGCCGCAGAATCTCACACTTTTTCTATTTCCGCATACTAAAATATGCGATTCATGACGTTTACGAATTTCGGACACTATAAAATCGTTTCAAAGCACATTGAAAAATTCAAAAAAAAAGAACTTACTATAACTCTGATTGCCAGACTCATCGTCAAGCTTTTGCTCAAGCTCAAGAGCTTTTTCCTTATTTTCGTTGAATTTATTCTTGGCGAGATCCCAAATATTCATGGCGATGTGTGTCTGAATGGAATGCAAGCACCCGTTGGAGTTTGCGAGCTCGTTGCCATGGCGACCAGAATGCCATATGACGATGGCCGAGGATATTCTAGGCCAAGAATTTGCGGAACAAGCAAATGATAGGCATTTGCGAAACCCGCGAATTGTCCGCATCGACTTTTTAAAAATGTCGACTTGATACTAATGGATTCAAATTCATCATAATAATGCCATCAGGATCTATTTGTCCTTCTGCGTTTCGCGATCTTTCTAGAATTTTCTGGAACTTTCTCACGCGGGAGATTTTCAGCCGATTTTTTGGCAGCGCAAATCTACCGTATCCAACACAACACCGCCACAATAATAATACAGTAATAATTTATTAATCATGGCAATATTAGGTAACACAGATTATATTAAAGCTAAAAGTCAATATTCCTTTCGTTGCCATTATGCTCCCCAACCATTGAATAGTCGGGTGGGTAGTTGGCATTTTGAAGCTCCTCTTCGGTCATCGGCCGATTCTCAGAAGTGTTCAATGAGTAGGGAACCGCTGTGGCGTAAAGGAGAACGACCTGAGCGCATCAAATTTGTGTTGTATTTTAAGAACTCTACGAACCTTTCCGTTCTGAGTTCTCCGTTTGCAATAGAGTTCGCCTCGGTAGTGCGATCGATTCTCAATATTACTACTTGACACAATTGTCTCCATTGAGTGATTGAAGAGCTGCTGGGCTTCCATCTTAAATTAAAACAATCCACAAAATGATGTCATAATCAGATAAGTAAACCTGAATCTGATTGGCATTTCGCTGGAGATTACAGCCCACATTCTGCCGGTCCATTTCCTGAACCTTCTCGTCGAGGAATTTGTCGAGCATCTCGTTGCAGCACTTGTAGCCTAAAGAATCTATGAATGCTTAATTATGAGCCTATTTGGTACCATGATGATTCTGGAAGCATTTCGGAGGTGGCGGAGTTGGATATGGGGTGGTCACGTAGCTCGGCGTCGGACTGCTGAGGAGAAACCGGATACGAAGGCGCCACTGGATACTGTAGTGGCAAGGCATACGAGTTTTGAGGAAGGGCTGGAGGAGTGGGGTATGGCATGAAATAGGCATTCTGGAAATTTTCTAAAAATCTTCTAGGGTCTTGCTTTTAAGAATTACCGGTTGCGGGTACTGTATTGGTGGTGGTGGCCTCGGATTGAAGTTGGTATAGGCGGTGCATCTACTCTGACATCCAAGCTGAAACCCAAGAATGTTAAAGGAACCGAACGAATCTTACCATTCCAAAGAACCATGATTCCACAGGAATATGGACCAACGAGAATATGCAAATGTATTTTAGAACCATCTGAAAATAAGATGAAGCTTAGTCGCGCAATCACAGAATGATTGAGGCATGAAGCGAGAATCGGGCCCCTATTTGAATATGATCAGGCGTGTGAGAACCAATTAAAATCGCCTCATCTCATGTGAAACGCCATGTCATGGGAATTCGCGTGTGTGTGTTTTGAAACGTATCGGCGATTCCGACGGATCCGCAAAAAATGGAAACGAAAGAAAGTGGACAATAGAGAGTTTCACTCGTCTTAATTTGCTTCGATCACATCGGCCACGGCACGAATTCCAAATTAGGCGCAGCGGTTCTCCCTCCCCCAGTTAGAAGATATTCCTGTCTGTGGTGGCGAACGTCGAGAATTTTGTAACCGTGCCGATTGAAAGAACATAAGGAAAATTAGTGAGTAGATCAAAAATTGATTCATTCATTTATATGAAATGTCATCTGCGGACATTGGCAAAACTCGCGAATAGCCCGAAATAAATAGTTTTCCAAAGACGAACCATCGCAGTTTCGTGGCGCGGTAATTCAAAATTCGATTTTAACAGTGGAGATTAGAACTCCATATTTATAAATTACAAATAATTGCGTTATTAATTGGAGAAGATTACTTAAGTAGGTGAGAGATGCGAATTAAAGGTATTTATATGTAGCATGCGTTACAGCTTTCTGGTTCTTTTGAAAGCTTCTCAATTTGAAGAGGATGTTAGTCAAATACGGGAAATGGTGGCCAAAAAAAATAATAGAAACATCCTGAGCGAACCGTATCAAATCATTTGTCGAAATAAATTATGTCTCGCCACGCTACGCCAACCATCAAAATCGTCTTGAATGGGTCAATCAGAGAAAAAAAAAGTGTTGCCGCCGATGAAGCCCACCCCAGTCGATACGCTTCATTAGGCGCGCTTTAGCTGATTGCCATTGAAAATTCAATGCGATGGAGGAATGATCGACAATTTGATGATTGCGCGATCGAGAAATTATCGTGTCGACGGAATAATTGGATTCCTCAGGAGACCCTTATTAGGTAATTTCGACCTTACACCAGCGTTGCAAAGCTTGGCGTTTGATTTGAAGGACTTTATGTTCATTGGTTTTTTTTATTAAGTGAACAATATTATTGAAGACGTCCCCTCTTTAAAGGCGCGATGCGCCTTTAAACTGCTTACTAGCCGGAACCATAAAAACCAATACAAATTAGAATGTGAACCCGGAAGATGTCCGCAGCCCATTTTAACCATTCTCAAATGCCATTTGATGCTCGTCAAATTTCAAAATATTTGCCAACTTTGGCAAAGTGCAAAAAATGAATTCCACATAGATTTTGCTCTAATCAAGACAAATATTTTCTTCATCGCTGTCATTCGTCGGTGTTCGTCACTTCGCCACTTTTTAGCGTCGACGAGCGTCATTTGCAGACGGGCATGACCGACGCATTCAATTTGCTTCGTATGTTTTTTTCTGTATCAGAAAATTCAAAACAATTTGAATGGGGATGCAAAAAAAATGGTGTGCTCATGCTTTTGCTCTCATTCTCTCTGCCGCGTTTTGTGTTTCCATTGATGTAACCTATTATTAGCATTTCGCATTAGCGTCATCAGTGCCACCTCACCTATTATTAGAACAATTACCGTAACATTTCGCATTCCGCTTATTTTTTGTCGAAACCAACTTTCTTGAGATTTCTCCTTTGCTCCTATTAAAGTTCATTATTTTTTTGGTTGGTCTTGCAACAAAAAAGGCAATATTCATTTTCGAAACTTCGAAGATTCGATCTCATCGAAGTGTTCTGCAACGTTCAAACGACAGAGATTCGAAATTCGGAATCCTCTCTTTCATTTGGCGAACCCCTTAGACGCTTTTTGGTTCCATGCCAGACATTGCCAAATGTCTGCGTTCGAAAACATTTTTTTGCACAATTTCAGCATCGCTTTTTTTTTGCAAAAATTTTGCAAAATTTCAGCATCTCCTCCTCGTCTAGGAATGAAGATGTCTCGCCACAATTCGCTTCCGTCGGTGACAACCAACAATTTGCGCGAGTTGTGGATATTCGAGGAGAACGGCATCGTGCCGGGCTCAGTTCCCGTCTCGAGCCCGCTGCCCGAAGAGGAGCTCGAGGCGTCCGAATGGCGAATGCCGCCCGACGCGTTCCTCAATCCGGCCGATCGGCAGCGCATGAAAAATCGGGTGCCGAAGCCGCAGGTAGGCGAAAAACCAATGTCGAATACTGATTTTTTTCTTGCAGTTCGAGCAGCCGACTGAAAACCGCTCGCGATTCTTCACGATTACCAGGGTGAGTTTTATTGGCGCGCGCGCGGCAACAACCATTTTTGGCAAAACTTGCAGGCGTGGATCGACCGGGCCACAAAAATGATCCATCGTTTGACGTCAAGGTGTGCGTGCTTCAATTAGTCATAATATTGCACTTTGCAATTAAGGAATGATGAAGCATCGCGGTAATTATGCAATTTGTCCTCTCGATTCCGATTGTCTAGATATCTGAACACCTGCCGACAATCATCGTGGTCCGCATGATTGAATATTTTAAAGAAACCTGCCAAACTCGATTTGAAACTGCTTATATCGCATTAATTATGCGTCCAATATAAGTGTGAAACTAGATTTCAAAAAATTTGAAAATTTTCTACCTTGTCACGAAAAACAAAAAATCATATTTGAATGAGATGGGTGCTTTTTTTTGGGTTCATTTCTGTGATAATTGCGTCACGGTGTTTGCACGCATTTTCGCGCGATACCATTTATTTCAATTTGTTAACCTCAAATGTTAATACATCAAAACCAATATTTAATTATATTTGCTAGAAAATCCAACAAAAAAATCTAGTCCGCAAACCCTGCCATTTCGGCGGCAATTCAAACACCTTTTTAATTCCAAGAAAATTTTCGAGTTTGGCTGGTATCTTTAAACACACATTTTATTCATAACCAATATATTATTATTTGTTTTTGTTTTTTTTTTCAATTTATGTCTCAAATAAATAAAAATTCAACAATCTCAAAGTTTATGCAAAAAAAAGAACTGTGCTCGACATCGTCGGTCTCATCTTCATCGTGGTGGGGGGGGGCGGGAAATTCTGAGATAAATTATATAGTAGGTACGACACATCTAACGATTTCTGTTTTTTCTTTCTCCTTATTTTGAACACACGTACAATTATTGGTCAAATTCGGGTTTGTGCGAGGAAGAATAATGATCTACATATTATATGCATGATGGGCTGTGTGGGGCGAGTTTTCATTGATTTATAGAGGTTCCGATGGGCTCATCATCGTTTGCCGAATCCGCGGGCCGACAGTATCACTAGACGCTTGAGATTCGTCCGCTTCGAAAATGGATCGATCATTTCTTCGCTTCGTTTGAGGCGCAGCTGAAAACCAATTTGATCATTGTGACATCAAAGTTAAAGAAATATATTTTTGGTGACTCATTGTCGATTTGAATTGTTGGATCACCAGTTGGGAGGTGTTGCCGCTTTAAAGCATTTTCCACATATCAATCAAAAATCAGTAACTGAGTGCTTATCTATTTTAAATCATCTGCGGACAATTTTTGCCTACGTCAAAAATTGTTCAGATTGACACGCAAATTGGATAATCCGAAAGGATAAATGAGCTAATAGCTTTTTATCAAATTTGACTGTCTGCATGTATTCTATGAAAACAGCCGACCTCTTCAACGGGAATCACACTGTCGTCGATGTAGTCGTTGCTCCTCGTCGAGCGTAATAATCGGTATGCTCGGTTTCCTGAAGAGATGGAATCGACTTGGGTGGGCTGGGGCGGAGCATACCTGGGAGCACCGAGTACGAGAAAACGACGGCTGAGCAGACGATGAGCAAGAGCACAATTGAAATGGTATGCGAAGACATCACTCACTCGTTTTTACCTGCAAAAATTCGCGAATAAATATTTATTTATATGGGCGAACAAATTCTTAATTAAAGACGAAAATGAAAGAGGCACGAGTGGTGACAAATGCCGGAAATATGGGACGAGTTCAATGCAAAATCAAAACCACAATGCCAAATACATGAGGCATTCTCATTCCGCCTATAAACTTGCTCGCCACTATTTCGTTTTTTCGAGATTACGCCCATTTTTGGTTTATATACTTATATCGGCGAGTAGTCCCCCAATTCTTTCTATTTTTTTTTCCAAAGATCGGAATCGACGATGTTAGATGTCGAGGATTATGTGGGCAACATAAGACACTTTTAATATCACGATTCTAATTTTTTTTAGATGCCGACAATTCTCAGGAAATGCAAATGATTTTTGAAAAGAAGAATTATGACTCGAGTTTAAGAGTACGGTAGATCATCAAACTGGTTTCGGGCAAATACGAACACAATGGTTGTCGTCAAAATATAAGGTCTCTGCGACCCCAAAAAATTCACTCACATATGGGTTTGATAGCATCAATTTTTACGTGGGTGGGCTAAGTAGAATGGACCATAAATGGAATCAGGAGTGCATATAATTGAACCGGAAGTTGAGAGAGAGGGGGGGGGTCCAAGAAATGAACTAATTGCAAAAAAGAAGGCAGGACCCTTTAAATTTGAGAGGTAATTATGGTGTTTGAGAACTACAGTAATAGGCAAAATTTTGCGAAGCACCTACCAATCTAGTTGGGACCCGAAAAAAAACGAAAGCGGTTGTGAGTGGGAGGGACCCGTAATAATAATTGGAAATCTTGATGGACTCCCCTTCCCCCTCCCCCCCCCACCCAAATAAACGCGCCTATTTTTGCAGAGCTCTGTGAACACGTCGAGTGCAGTAATTATATGTCATAATCGAATTAAGAAATGCAATCGGATTGCCATAACTGCAACATCTCGATTCGATATACCGCTGAGTGTGCGCTAATCATCATCATCACGCGGTTGGCGAGAATCTGAGGCGGCGAATTGAATAGCGTTGTAATTTCGTGAAGACATCTCGCCGGAACTTCCATCTTTTTACATACACCAAAAAAAGCAACAATCGGACAGCGGAGGGGAGGGGATGACGATTAAACTCACAGCCGACCTAATCGAATATTTGACGCTTGGCCTCTAATCGTTAGCGAAATTCGATTTGGGGCGTGTTGTTTGTCTGGTACGGTTTTGTTTCATAAGGAATTGGCGGTGAGAAAAAAAACACACACCGGTGTTTGCCCTTTGCGCATTAATCTGGAGACGAATTGAACTCGAAATGTACTTTTCCAAATTTGGAAATGGTTTTTGCAAAATTCAACATGGCAGGTTGAAAATTACAGAGTCTCAATTAGGAATCTTTCGTCGAGTGAGACCTTAGAATCAATTTGGAATCCGAAATGGGTATTCGGATGGTTCAAGGAGTCGCACTGCCCCACAAGTAGTTATGAGAAGAGGGATGACCACAACGAGGGGCAGCGAATTTATTTATAAAATTCAGTTGGCACGAGGCTAATCTCTGATTAGATTGCTATCGGAGAAAACGTGAAAACGGGGAAATAAATAAATAAATTTATTTGATTTCGAGAGGCCTTTGATGCCGATTAAAGGGTGTGTGTTACTCATATGAAAATTCTTATTGTCGACTTGGATTTTTTTCTCGTCTGATATGACTTATATAGATGATGGGAATCGAAATTGTCAGCAAAAATTTTAAAATTTGCAAAGGCTGGGAAATACGAAGGGAATCCGAGAAGGATGTCCACAGATGAAAATGGTTAATGATGGTATTCCAGACAGAATTGAAGATATAATGAATTGTGCAAATTGCGAGCCTCACTTTCTAAAACTATTTTTTTGAATATTAAAATTCCGAAAGACGTTCATGTGATTGAATTTTGATTTGTCAAGACTAAATTGAACATTGCATCCATAAAAGGAATATGAGACTTCAGGACCCGGAAACATGGCTACAGACGCTTGAATTGAATAGTTTTCAGAATCCACAATTGAACATGAAAATATTGAATCGGAAAAAACAAATCATGAATAGTAATAACAATAATAATCAGATCTTGTGACGACGCGAAAATGTGGCGATCAGAAAATAGAAATGGCAATAGTGCCGTCCTAGTTTTGGAATAGGATTAACTATACATATGAATTGGCAGGCTCCAGAATGTTCATGACGATAAACACTCCGCCCAGTCCGAGAATGACGCTATCTGAGATTATCGCCCAAATTGGATGATTTTGAATTTCCTCTTTTTGGGTGGCAAATTAAAAAAAGAGTGTTCTGAATTTTGATCATAATCGTTTTTTTTACATCTAATTAATTGTTGGATTGCTTTGGGATTTCAGGAATGTTCCGCAGATGATGTTGACGTTCAACCTACAATAAATCCATGCAGATTTTTTTTTTTGAAATTTGCTCAAGGATTTCTCGTAGTTTAAGAAAAGATCAACTCCGTGTCAAAATTCTCACAATATCGTCATAAATTTGCATGATAAAAATTTTTAAATCCTTAAAAATGAAAAGCTCAAACGATAGATGATTTAAATCTCAATATACTGACATCTAAAAATGTAGGGCTCGTTGTTTGAATAATCGATTGTGCATTATGTTTTTCAGAATTTAATAGCGGTTCCACTCATTAATATTATTTGACAATTGAAATTTATAGTTTTCCGGAAAGCAACATTATGAAGGTCCCATGCTACTTTTCGAAAAAAAAAATGTGAAGTCTGATCTCATCTTTAATTCTTCAATGAGTGCGGGTCCAACGACGACATCAAAATCTAAAAATACGTCTGAAAGTTTTGAGACAAATTGCAAGATGCGATTAGAAGGACGTCGGACTCGAATAAAACAAATGTCGGTCGTATCAATGAATCAAAACGAAAAGATGAAAAGAACACGTCGAATGCGCGCCGACGAAAATCTCAAGTACCCTAAACTCTTGTCGAGTTTTGTTTTCTGCTCTTCTTTTCTAGACAACAGGCCCCTTCACGACGGGACTTTAATTATATTGCCGATGCAATTAGCCAGTGGTATTTGTTGATGCCGAGTAGACGGAAGGAAAGAAGGACCATATAAGAATACGGTAGATCAAGAAATGGGGTGTATGCTTCTTTAGGCAATCTTTCAAGAAATCAAAATTCAATTTCAATATACAACTGATTTTCATTGAAAAAAGAATGTCTCATTTCAAACTAACTCGTTTCACAGTGCGATTTCAGCAATTACAGTAGAAGTTGAGATATCAAGGATCATTGGAGTCGAAAACTCCCAAATAAAATTATTCGACGTCAATGGATGGCGAACGTCTGGTTTCACCTCCATAATTGGATTTTGTCACGAAATTTACAGTAAAACGCAATGAGTTGTCTGGACAAGCACCCAATTATGTTTTATGATGCGTGTCGAGGAAGTTAAAACGTTTTCAGCGTTTTTCATTTTAAAACAAACGACGTGTGCATCTAAAATAGAATTTCGGGAAATTGAATTGCGAGTTTGAAAATCGCATCGTCTACACGTTTCCAGTGAAGAAAAAGACAAGACGAAAGGATGAACTCGGCCTGCAACAATGTCCGCAGCTTAACTCGAACATGACATTTAAAAATAGAAACGGGAGAAAAAGTGGTATCTGGTGTCTGGCTCCGCTTGTTTCTCTCGCGAGAGAGATCGAATCACACAAGAGCTTAAATTTGGAAAGAAGAACCCATGACAAAAAAACATAACAATGGATTGACGGTAGCAATACTTGATTGCAATCTGCGGACACCGTCGCGGGGTTCACCGAAACGGGTGAAAAGCTCGTTTCCCAAAATAGACTTCGATGGTTCATATCCGGTGTGCTGAGAATCTCGACATGGCGCAGTAAAGCGTAAAACATGGCGGGTGGGGGAAAAATAAAGTTGACTAAAGCAAAAAAAAAAAGTTAACAATCCGAGAAAAACACCAAGCAAAACAAAAATGAATAGAATTGACGTCGAGACGCAAATTGACTAGCCGAGCTCAGATTCAAGCAGCAGCCTGGCATATCATATCATAGGTGATCGCCGAACACAAAACAAAACAATCAAATTATTTGGGATTATTTTGGTTTTGGCCTACCAGTTCTTTTCAATACTCGCTTATTTATTAAGTTAGCCCACGCAGAAATGAGAGGAGCAATTTTGAAACACCAATTATGGTTTCCATCATTAAAAAAACACACACACACACACCAACACATTGGAAATGTGAAGCCTCCCAATTTTCTACCCATTAATTTTTTTTTGAAAATAAAAACAATTTTGTGAGTCATGATAATCTAGAGTCAAGCAATTCGTTTTTCATTTTTTCTATTCAGGCCATCTGATGTCCATTATTCTTATGATACCTGACTGCACAAAAACATCGATTGCATATTGTAATGACCGATCGGGGGTGGGACCATCATTATCACAAAACTTGCGTAGCGTGTGAATTTCGACCCTGGAGAAATACTAATCGCGCGTACGCTAAAATGCTAGTCACATTGTCAATTATTAAAAAATTTCCAACAGCCATTTGAAATCGACAATATATAAATTGAAACCGCCATCAGGTTGGCGGCAGGTTGCCGAAATTTAAGCAAAAAGCAAACAACGTCAAAGGTCATAAAAAGAATATTCACGCGCCCTTGTCTTTTGTGGCGTCAAAGGTTGAAAAAAGGTTAAAAGGAAATCGTTGTGGGACTCAATGGATATCAACGAAAAAATTGAAATTGCTCTTCACAGAATGAGGAAGTTGTCATTGTGTTCTTTCAATGTTTTCATTATATATATATATATATATATATATATATATATATATATATAATTCTTCTTTTTTTTTAATTAACGAATGCCATTATTTATTCATTATCGTCGTTTTGTCGAGGGAAGAGAATAGAAAATCGAACTAGAATTCGATGATCAAAAAGTGTTTGATTCATAGAACAGCTATGCTTTATATATATGGGACTATTTTAATTTATGGCGCCTACTTAAAACGTGATGCCCATCTATGTATTTAGACGCCATGGCAATTATGTACATATGTCGAAAAAATGATGATATGTCTAGTTTCGAAGGCGGTGTTTCGACCAGTGAGAGGACAAGGTTTTCTTTTTCAAAACACACACACACACAGAACTCATTGAGCTTTGACGTCAGCAGTCGCGGCAAGACCTTTGACGAGGTACGGTAGCAATCGAGGTTTTAAAGGGAAATGAGATATAGAAAAAGCCGGAAGTCTCAATTGAATTCTTGATCTTTAGCAAATTACATCGAAACATTTTTTTTGCAAAAAAAACGACTGATTCATTTTTAATATAATTCTATAAATGCGAAAAATGACTTTCCAATGTTCAAAAATTGAGGTATCGGATTTCAGAAGAGGTGAATTTGTTTTAGGCGCTGCCGAAATTCTGCAAGTCAGAATTTGATTACCAAATTTGATAATCAGCTTTCTTCAAAAAATGGTATACTATCGCTGATTCGCGCAGTTGTCCCATTATTTTTGATCTTTAATACATAATTTCATCCTACGATCACAATTTCCTTCAAACAGTGATTCGTTTTTGATGAAATTGTGCCATTTTTTGAAATTGCAATAGAGCACATTTGCTCTCCTTCGTTCATGTAGTTTAGATACTGAATTTGACGAGGAAAAATGCACAACTTTTGAAAAACCGGAATAATCAAGATTTTAAAAAATTTGCAATAGAGCGCACTTGCTTCCTAGACTGCTTAAAACCATTATTTCTTAGCATAAAATTGTCGTCTAAAATTTAAAAAAATGTACAATTTAGAAATTTGCGCGATTCTTGTAGACGGCCACGGCCATCGCCGCCAATGCCGCACACGATAACGAATTGAAGACGCACGAGAGAATCTGAATCACCAATCATTCCTTCAAAGCCGACATGTCTTTTTTCCTACCCGATCCTGTCGCTTTCTCTTCTCCACAACTTCCGAATATGGTGTTCTTGTGAAGGTGACCATTGAATACAACGGAATCCAGCTATTCGGGAACAATTTGTTCATGAAGAGGTCAAACTTCTTCCTCAACTTGTACGATGAATGATTGACAAGATCCTTAAGCTCTTCATAATTGTACATGGCCAGATCATTGATAGTATGCGCATCTTTAACACGACACTTCGTGTATGTCTCAATGGCATCGGCTGAAAATCGATTGAGTCGATGAATGGTGTTGATGAGAAGACGGCCATACGGATACGATCTCCACATTTTTCGAGAATCTCGCTGAACACGAGACAATCCTCGAAACCGCAATTCATGCCCTGCCCGTAAAACGGGACCATTGCGTGCGCTGCGTCACCCATGAGCAGCAAATTGTCGAAGAAATGATGCGGAGCGCATTTGATCGAAACGAGCGGCTGCGGTTTCACACGATTGAACGTGTCCACAATATGGTCCCTAAATGAAACTCAACTCATTTGTGATTTGATCGACACTCACTTTCCCAAAAGTTGATAGGCATCCGGAAAATTCTCCTCGAAAAATTTCAGGACATCATTCGTGTTCGACATGTGCTTCTCGAACTCGGAGAACGGCGCGAAAATTGTGACTAAACATCGAGATTAAATATAATCAGGGTAGGGGAGGGGTTCAAATTTCAAACCTGTAAATGTCTTATCCTTATTTGCCAATGCGATTAGTGTGAAATGACCTCTCGGCCATAAATGGAACACATTCGCTTCTAACGCAAACTGGAATATATATTTTTTTATTATGTCATATTGTCGACGTCAAACGACTGAAGGGAGGCAGGGCTTTCGAATTCGCGAAATCAGTGTAGATTTAAATTTATCGTTGACTGAATATTAAATGCGCGTACACTATAATGCAATGTACGCAATCGGACTGCCTCGAGGCGCATTGGCACATAGCCAATCGTCGTTTGACTCCGATAATAGAAAGCCTACATCATTATTGTTATTTGCCATAATGTTGAGCTCAACATAGCCATGCTCAATGTATTCTTGTGAGAAATTGAATCGCGGGATGGTCATGAGACTTCGTCGAACTGCCGAATAGGCCCCATCGCAGGCAATTATCAAATCGGCATGCACAAGGAATTCAGATGGCTCGGGGCTGAAATTTTAGAAGAACGTTTTTTTTCTTATGTAAAATGTCGGAATGAGTACCTGGGAGGCTTCTGCCCAAATTTCGGGATTCTACTAACATTTTCAGTTCTAGAAAATCGAAATTTAAGAAAAAATTCATTGTCATCTTACTTTTGAACAATGAGCTCCTTCTTTTCATAGTCAATTCCCTTCACTTTATGCTCGAAGAAAAATCTGAAATATGAAAATAGAAGATTGTAAGAATCGATTCCAGAACATACTTCACATTTGGGCATTTTTCAGCTTGTGTGATCATCACCTCATTCAAATGTCTTCTATTGATGGAAACGATGTGCTGAAATTGTTGAGAATCTTAAAATGCGTTTTCAGAAGGCTTACTTCTCCTGGCTGTCCGTAAGGCTGTCGACTGAACGTCTTTCCATCTTTGTTATGAACTAACCTTGAGTACATTGGAACCCCTAAAAAGGAGTTCATTCATTGAAGCCCTCGCATGCTCACCTTGGCTGACGATGTACTCTTTTAAGCCAACAGCCTCGAGGGCACTTTTGCCTCTCTGACTCAGCGCAAGATTGATACTTCTTCCCTGGACGTGCTTCATCGTTCTGATGTCTTTGCGGTACTCGTACACCTCCACATCCCATCCCTTCTGGGCAAAGAAGCACGCGTTCAATGCTCCAACGAGCCCGGCACCGGCGATGGCAACACTCGGCATCTGAAACGTGGTCAATTGGTTGCGTTGTGGAATCGGCTAACGATCTGACGATATCGAAAACTCGTTTCTCCATCGCCTACCTAATAGGGGTAACGAATGATAAGGCAAAATGTTGCAAATGTTGTTTCAAGCGGTGAGTAGCGAGAAAATAGCATTGCAATCGAGGAGAGCAAAAAATGAACAGAACAATGAGAATGAATTCAGATGAAAATGTGTACTGTATTCGGAAAGTTATCAACTACTTGATATAGTATGATTATGTTAGGCATCTAGATTCTCTATTTTTACACCGCCATAGAAAACTTGATCAGAAATGGAACTGAACAGAACCAAGATGTCACGAAGATGTTCGAGAATGATGGATACTCGCACGTGGTTGGTTTCATTGCAGCAAAACTAAAAACGCAACAAACAAGACGAAAAATCAGAGGTGCGTCTCATCTAGAAGACCTTGAGAATTACCAAACGAGATGCGGCAGTTCTTCTCCAATCAAATCGAACAGATCTAATCTTTGACGGTCTCATCGAGCTGAGATAAGCAATCAAATATGTAATTGATGAATTATTATTTATGTACACCCGTAATTATATGTAGAACACGTTAATTAATTACACTTGAAATTGGCTGGATTGAAAGTTCGATTGGCGATTTGAGCGAGCTCTCGAACCTGAATAAATGCTCGTTTTCTAGCTGCAAATATTTTGATCTACCTGCGGATATTGTCGAACAAATTCATGATTGAATGTCGGTTTTCGATCGAGTTTCCCTAGAAGGAATTCGTGCATACAAATCGGGGTGCCCATATCCACATCCGCCATCACTTTATTCGCTGAAACACACCAAACAATATGATTTTTTGCTGACATTCAAAATTTCGTAAAGCGCGCATTTTGTTTTGTTCTTTTATATTACCATTTTTTATGTTGAAAACACGTCTGCGTTGATCAATTGCGGACCATTGCACTTTCGACGAGAGAATTCAAATTTGAAATTAAATCGTGGGTTACCGTATTATGGATATCCTGCGAATCGAATTATATACATGTATTATGGCATCGTAAACATGAAAATTGCAAATGGTAAATTCGTCTCGACGGCCTCCAACGTTTTACCTCCAATTTTGGCGAAGGCCAGCAATTTGAGTTTAAAAAAATATCATTCGAAATAATTAAATGAGAAGCATTCCCCCTCCAAATTATACATATAATAAAACAATTGAGATTCCCTATGCTCAACAGAGACGCAAACGAAAAAGAAGTGCCACAGAAAGCGTCTATGAGAAATTGAAAGAATTTCCGCTTTCGTTTTTTTGGTGCAAAACTAATAAAATTTTGGACGCTCTTCTGATCAAAACGGTAGTTTTGCATGTGTTCGATACGCAGCCAAATCGAAAATTATTGTGAGACCAAGATGTGAAGTACAATCTTCTACGCTCCTCCCGCCACGGAAGTGATATGTCTTCAACAATACCTGTTAACGAATTCGAATTTGCGAGAAAATCGAGATACTCGATGCCCATAATGCAAATGCCATGCCGTTTCCACTTCGATTTGCATTTTCTGTCAAAACCATTCCCACCGAACACATTCCAGTCGGTAAATCTGAAATTCAATCACGCAAAATGCATAATATTCAATAATACATATAAATAACCTCGTGAACTCTCGTTTGCTCTTTGTGCAATTTGCGATCATCTGCCCTTTTAATCCCAATTTATTTGCATATAAGGTGTGAACCAGCATTTCGTCAACTCCATAATACTGAAAATAATAGGAATACAATTTCAAGGTCTGTAAATAAATTGAACCAACCCATTTACTATTAAATAATTGCATAATTGGCTATAAATTCAGTTTATCGAAAATATCTTTTAAAAATATTTTCGAGAGGAAAACTTCGTTGAGACTTTTTCGAATGAACAATTTCGTATGGAGTATTTCATCAGGTATTCCCGTTTCTAAATCGGCATTTTTCGACGTTCAAATTGAAAATAATTATGGGAAACCATTTTTGAATAGCTTCAATCCAGTCCAGTCGGCCCATTTATCGAATCGACCAGGATTCGGATCCTCCAGCTCGACAGCTGATGAGATATTGAGAATTTCACTGATTTCAGACAGCTCTTCGTTTGATTTTACAACAAGGTCGTAATTCTGCAATTATTCATATCCCAAAATTTCTCGTTTCTTGATCAACCTGGAGTAGTAATGCATGATTCCAGTTGCGATTTAGGATTGCTTCTAAACATAAGAAGTGACCACGATCCTGATCGTGGCCTTTCGAATCAAAGTCAAGCTCCTGCAACTCCATATATGGATTCGATATCAGTCTACTTTGATACCTTATCAAGTACGAGAATATTGTCGAAACAATCATCAAGTTTCCGCATTTTTCTTTTGAAATCCTCGCTGCTCTTTTTATCCAAAACATGGCAAAATGTTTGATTCGGATGGTAATTCGTCGATATGAATATTTCTTGAAGTTCGTAGCTCTGAAATATTTCGAATATTTGATTTCAATTCAGACCCTCACATTGTATATATTTCGAACAAATGCAACACTCCTTTTCAATTGACTGAAATTGCTGATATCTCCATGGATTCGCGAGTGCATCGAATCACAATCCATTGCGAGATCCTTCGGATCATCCGGATAAATCCTGAGTCTTCCTCGATTCACATACACATCGATGGAATCCTTCGAATTGTTGAAGAACGCAGAGCAATTTAAAAACTCAGAAGCAGCCCTCAAAGCATAAAATTAATAGAAAAAAACTGTAAAACTCTTGAATTTACTTGTTGAAATAGATCTCGGCATAATGATTGACGGATTGAATATTAAACACTTTATAAATCGTTTCCTTCGCAGACATCGAGACTGTTTGAACCGTCTTAAATTCAAGAAATATTCCTCGCTTTAAGCGTGCATTATTACCTGCGGTATATCGACATTAAATCCAATTAAGAAGCAAATTCCAAATATGGCGAAAAAGAGGACAATCATTTCATAAACTCGAAAACTAGGCTCATTATTCTGAAAACAGATTAACTAGTAAAAATGCGAAAGAAATTGAAACACTTACAATATCATGAAGATGTGCATACCGAATCCGGCTTCTCATTGCACAAGCTGAAACAAATGATGTATTGTATCAAACTACATACATAATTAATCAATAGGTATAAAAAAGAAATTGAATTAAATATCTCTAGTTTTATTGTTTTGTGAGAGCATTATATAGTAATTATAATAATATATTTTAATTGCTATTTTGAAAATCCATTCGAATTATATACAATGTTCTTTTTAAAGTAACCCATAAGTCAGAAAATATTTTCAAAATTCTGCATAGCAAACAAACTTTTATCATTTCAAAGGAGATTTTCATAGTTTGTGGAATAGGCCACTATTTACACAAACATGTCGTCGTGAGGAGTGACATTTTTGATTTCCACAGTTTTTTTTTTAAATAATATTAATTCAGTTAATGTATATTTGGGAAAATAAGCAAATTTTTTACAAGAAAAGAAGAATTCATTCCAAGTGATAAAACTGAAAAATTATATTTCGATGATCGCTGCTTTGAGACCCATGGCCTTATCAGTCCAATAACCATTATGCGTAGAAGATAATACATCGAACATTTGTATCAGTAAAACAATAGAATGATTAACACCACGAATGTAGAGCACACAAAAATCGGAAGATGATGGATATTGAAAACATAAAACATACATTAAACGAGCAACGCGCACTTAGTTTCTATAGAAACCCTTCAACATACACACGTTGGTCACTCATCGGATCAGCGATACTCGATTATGTTTAACATGTGTGCTAACAAATATGTTTCAGTTTGCACATTTGAAATTGGCTGGATTGAAAGTTCGATTGGCGATTTGGGCGAGCTCTCGAACCTGAATAAATGCTCGTTTTCTAGTTGCAAATATTTTGATCTACCTGCGGATATTGTCGAACAAATTTATGATTGAATGTCGGTTTTCGATGGAGCTTCCCTAAAAGGAATTCGTGCATGCAAATCGGGGTGCCCATATCCACATCCGCCATCACTTTATTCGCTGAAATAAAAGAAGTCGATTTGCGATCATTTGATTCTTACCAATTAATGCATTTATATTAATAAGACTTTTGAGATACTCGATTCCCATTATACAGATCCCATGCCTCTTCTTTTTCGATTTGCATTTTTCATCAAATCCCTTTTTTTGATTAATTTCCCAATGCGTATACCTGAATATTATTTATAATATATCAACTATTAAAAGAACAAATACCGGACAACATTTTCACGAAACATTGAGCAATTCGAAATCATCTGTCCTTTTAGTCCCAATTTGCTTGCGTATAGCGTTTGAACCAGCATTTCGTCAACTCCAAAGTACTAAAAATATATGTTTCATATTCTGCTAGTTTCTATCAACCCTCACTTTTTTATTGTCGAATCGTTTAATCAGATTTTCGAGATTCAATTTATCAAAAATATCTTCTAAAAAAACTTTTGAAAGAAAAACTTCGTTGAGATTTTTTCGAATTGTCAGATTCTTATGCAGAATTTCTTTAGAAATACCAGTCTCTGAAACAAAAAAAAACGTCATATATCTTTTTTTTTTCTAAAAATTCACTAATACCATTTTTAAACAATTTAAGCCCGTGTGGAGTCCAATCGGCGGATTTTTTATATCGTTCGGAACGTGCTTTGAACATCTCAACAAGTGAGGAAATATTGAGAATTCCACTGATTTCAGACAGCTCTTCGTTTGATTTTACAACGAGGTCGTAATTCTGCAATTATTCATATTCCAACATTTCTCGTTTCTTGATCAACCTGGAGTAGTAATGCATGATTCCAGTTGCGATTTAGGATTGCTTCTAAACATAAGAAGTGACCCCGATCCTGCTCGTGGCCTTTCGAATCAAAGTCAAGCTCCTACAACTCCATATATGGATTCGATATCGGTCTACTTTGATACCTTATCAAGTACGAGAATATTGTCGAAACAATCATCAAGTTTCCGCATTTTTCTTTTGAAATCCTCGCTGCTCTTTTTATCCAAAACATGGCAAAATGTTTGATTCGGATGGTAATTCGTCGATATGAATATTTCTTGAAGTTCGTAGCTCTGAAATATTTCGAATATTTGATATCAGTTCAGACCCTCACATTGTATATATTTCGAACAAATGCAACACTCCTTTTCAATTGACTGAAATTGCTGATATCTCCATGGATTCGCGAGTGCATCGAATCACAATCCATTGCGAGATCCTTCGGATCATCCGGATAAATCCTGAGTCTTCCTCGATTCACATACATATCAATGGAGTAATTCAAATTGTTGAAGAATCCGTTGCAGTTAAGAAATTGGATATCAGAGCTGAATGAATAATTATTTATAAAAAAAACCAAACTCAAGGCACTTGTCAAAATAAAATTGTGCATAAGAAGATTCCATATTTCCAATTTTTGATAGATTCGGTTTTATAAAAACTGCCGAATCGTCCTAAAATTTATATTTATACGAAAATTAAATAATACATGTTAAGTGCGACTTACTTGCGGCTGTTTAATGCTTGATAGCAAAAGCAGACAAATATAGATAATAGTGAATCCAAAAAGACATTTCACAGTCAAAATATCGCTCAAATCGATCGAACTTTGCTGCATTTTCTTCGACAAAAAATACTTCTTCAAAATCTTGTAACCATGAAACATACTAGACCAAGATTATTATGTTTCCATCCCAACACGTCTTTTCGATTCTCAATGTGATTTACAAATAAATAAATTATTTATTCTATTAATTATTTTTTTCTTTTTCATATTAATACCCATAGTCTTTCCGTTAATAATATGCATCTAATTACACTTGAAATTGGCTGGATTGAAAGTTCGATTGGCGATTTGAGCGAGCTCTCGAACCTGAATAAATGCTCGTTTTCTAGTTGCAAATATTTTGATCTACCTGCGGATATTGTCGAACAAATTCATCATTGAATGTCGGTTTTCGATCGAGTTTCCCTAGAAGGAATTCGTGCATACAAATCGGGGTGCCCATATCCACATCCGCCATCACTTTATTCGCTGAAACACACCAAACAATATGATTCTCAGTTGTCATTCCAACCGGTTAATGCATTTGTATTGGCAAGAAGTTCAAGATACTCGACTCCTAGAATACAGATTCCATGCCTTTTCCATTTCGATTTGCAATATTTGTCATAGCCATTGGGTCCCGAGAAATTCCACTGTGTCATTCTGAAAATCACAATGATCACACTCACTCCTGCCGACTCTTCAAAAACCTTGAAAATTCCTTGGAATATTTTGTACAATTTGAAATCATCTGCCCTTTTAATCCCAATTTACTCGCATATAACGTTTGAACCAACATTTCGTCAACTCCATAATACTGAAAATATGGATTTATTTCGATTCCATACCATTTATAGAAATGACCCTACCATTTTATTATTAAATTGTTCAATTATTGGGTCTAAATTCAATTTTTCAAATAATTCATCAACGAATACTTTTGATAGAACAACTTCATTGAGATTCTTGCGGATTGTCAAATTTCCATGGAGAATTTGGTAAGGAACTCCAGTTTCTAAATCAATCAATTTTTCATAATAATTTCTTCTGTTCTTCACCATTCTTGAACAATTTCAATCCATGCGGCGTCCAATTTGCTGAAACATTGTAGCGATAAGTGTAGGCATCATTCATTTCTACTATTGAAGAAATATCTAAAATTTCACTAATTTCTGCTAGCTCCACGTTTGATTTCGAAACAAGATCGTAATTCTGAAAAGCGTCTGAACTCAATGAAATTTCTCGTTTCCTGATCAACCTGGAGTAGTAATGCATGATTCCATTTCCGATTTAGGATTGCTTCTAAACATAAGAAGTGACCCCGATCCTGCTCGTGGCCTTTCGAATCGAAGTCAAGCTCCTACAACTCCATATATGGATTCGATATCGGTCTACTTTGATACCTTATCAAGTACGAGAATATTGTCGAAACAATCATCAAGTTTCCGCATTTTTCTCTTGAAATCCTCGCTGCTCTTTTTATCCAAAACATGGCAAAATGTTTGATTCGGATGGTAATTCGTCGATATGAATATTTCTTGAAGTTCGTAGCTCTGAAATATTTCGAATATTTGATATCAGTTCAGACCCTCACATTGTATATATTTCGAACAAATGCAACACTCCTTTTCAATTGACTGAAATTGCTGATATCTCCATGGATTCGCGAGTGCATCGAATCACAATCCATTGCGAGATCCTTCGGATCATCCGGATAAATCCTGAGTCTTCCTCGATTCACATACACATCGATGGAGTCCTTCGAATTGTTGAAGAACGCAGAGCAATTTAGAAACTTCGAAGCAGATCTAAAATAAGAAAAATTATTTCATTTCAAGATGATTGGCTCACTTGCTGAAATAATTGTCCACGTAATTGTCCACAGTTACATACCGCATATTGAAAACCTTGTAAAAATTGTCTTTTGCAGTCTGTGATATAGAAGTGACAGTCTGTAACATTGTCTGATCTACCTGTCACATAAGCTTATTACCTCTGGCGTGTTCATATTAAATAATAATAATAAGCAAGTTCCCATTAGTGCGAAACTCAATATAAATTTCTCGTAAGCCCGAAATCGAGTTTCCATTTTATAAGGAGCATTCTAGAGAAAAATAAAGGGGCAATTATTAAAGTAATTTAGGTTAATTACCTCATCATCAAGGTGCATATATTGAATTCGACTTCTCATTATTACAAATTGAAAACTAGAAATTGATTAAAAGTTTCCGGGGGTCTGCATACATAATTATATACTAGAACGGGTGACGTAAATAGTGAAATTGGGATTCGAAAATCTCGAAATAAGCAATTCAAACAAACATATTTGAACGGTTTGAACCGGTGAAACATATTGCACATATAAATCAAAAATTGCAATGTTTGAGAATTTGCGTAAAACCATCAAGGTGAAGCTCAACAATCGGGGGAAAAAGGCAACAACAAAAACATGCGCGCCGCTGAATATTTGGTTAGCTCCCTTGCCAACCGCAAGAAGATCAACATCAAATATGAGCAAAATTTGCCGTCTTAAAAAAAGCTAATAACGCGTCATGATTTTTTGAAGAAAATGAAAAAAAAAACAGAAAACAATCTTTTAAAAATTTTAGAAATTTTTAAAAATAGTTTTTACCTTGGTTTTTTTTAAAGAAACCTGTATAGTAATTTGAAAATCATGGAAATTGGATTTAAAAAGAGAATTCAACGCGGATTAAGTTGTGATACCGAAAAACGAGCATATTTGTATGTACTTGAGTTTTTTTAAATCAGTTTATTTTAACAAATTTTTAAAATGTTCATTAAGCAAATGAACATTTGATTCTGGCCTTGATTTTTTCATGAATTAAAATGTTGGATTGGAATAATAAAAACATAATGGATATTCCGAAATATTTACGCAACTGCATTGAATCATCGCTCAAAAATGGTTAATTGTGTTATTAAAGTAAACACAAATGAGTGTATTATGATCAATACGATAATTAAAAAAACATAAATTAAAAAAATAGAGTATTTGAAACGAATTTTGGGCTGAAAAGAAATTTTTTGAAGCCGTCATATGAAGAAGTCAAAATCAAACAAAATCGGTATATGCGTAGGATATTTGCTGCCGAAAAAAAACAAAAATAAAAGAAAATTTTAAAATAAAAAAGGACAAAAAAAAAACTAGTCTGGCCAATATATTTTAGTTATAATCATGTAGGCATGGTTACGAAATAAATTGTGAAAATGGAATTTGTTGGCTAATCTCGTCACACTAATAATTCATTTTTTGATTGTTTGATATCGATGGATTGTATACAAACTTCTGATTTATAATATTTTTCCTTCCGAAAAGGAAAATGACGTAGATAATGTTAGTATTTTCAGTGTTGAGGGCACTTAATGTCCGATAAGAGGTGCGCCTGATAAATGTTAGCAACATATGGAGGAAATAATTAACTGATTAGGATTTTTATTGATTTGAAAGATTTGGAATAAGTTAAAAAATTGCCTAAAAAACCACTTTTAACGTCATTGATAAGAATAAATAAAATGCGGACGTAAAATTTTTATTTGCCTCGGGCCATTTGGCACATTGTCAATTTTTAATGGTTCCATTCATACAATGAAAAATATTGAAATAAATTTTTTTTATTTTCAATTTCCCATTGACGCGATATATCCGTAATTCAGAGCCATTTATTTTTAAAGGAGCAAGCTTCGACGAATCATTTTTCTGCTTTTTTTTATTTTTTGCTTAATTTTTTCGCTCGAAACATTGTGGCCCGTCGTACTTTCGTCGGGCGCTAATTCAAATTTGAATTGAAAAAATAGGAATTTGGGTATCGTACAACGGATATCCTGCGAATCAAACTCGCGCGCGCTTTTTTTTGCGAATGTATTTATAAAAGTTTCGTAAAACGGCTATAAAAACATTTTTATTGACGTGATCGATTCAGAAAAAAACATACATAAAACTCAAAAACGTTTTTTTATATTACCACTATTAGATATTTTTCTTCATATTAGGACCAGGAGATATACCACCGTTTTCTTCCAATGCACCGATTGGCCTCAAATTTAGAACTTTAGAAGGTATTGATACCCGGATGATGCACATATCACGCAATTTTGAAAGCGAGCGTTCCCCTGGTTTCTCATTCTATTTCAGACCTTTTGGTTATTCGACTTCCATCCGTTCAGGATTTTAAGCTGGCAACTTTATTAATACACTTTTTTGTCGTTGCAGATTATTACCAATCTAGGTGTGGCCGATATTTAGCTGAACGTCTGGAATCGTTTGGTTGGAACTAAATTAACGAGGAACTCCTAGATCTGAATTCTTGATAGTTCACAAATTTCCAATTGAAATGCAGGTTTACACGAACCCAGCGGACATTTCCATCGATTGTGATGGAAGGAACCACTCAGGATTTTTCTTTTTGTGCTGGTAGTCAGGCGAGATGAATGTCCCAATTTTATTGGCTGGATTTTGGAAGAAGTTATTGGTGTTGAAGAGTCGATTAGTGGTGAGAAAACATGCAAAAAATTTTCCTTGATTTCATACATACTGGTTGAATATCGATGACACTCCGAAAGTGAGAATTGTGATTATTTGATTGACGAACTTGGCTCTTTTTATTTTGGTGCTCATGGATTTATTCATGCGTGATAAATCCGACTCCACCAGATACCGAAGCTTCGTTCCGTTGGCCGAAGAAGATTCCTGTCCCGTAAGTACGCTGACGGGACAGGAATCTTCTTTGGCAATCCTAGCTCTCATTTTGTTTCGAAGAGACCTATGATGTCATACTTGATTCGACAGACTTCTCGAGAAAATTCGGTAAGTCTATCGTCGGACGCGATCTAGCGACAGTGCAGAATCTGACGTCATCATTTCTCGTTATTTGTCGGTGATCATCAAATTTTCCACAAATCCTATCCGGTTGCCGATACTAGACGGCCGCTCCACATGTAAATGTTTCTAAAACATTCTGAAAATTTTCTGGTCAATCTAATTCTAAATTTTCGGTTAAATCTTGCTCGAAACAAAAATTTATAGACAACGTTATTTTGTGCAATATGACAAAAGAAATTTAGCTGTTTCCAATTGTTCGAATAAGGCAATTCTCCTGAAAATATTTCAATCAATATTCCGATTGATAGTAAAAATTACCTTCGTTAGTTTAAAAATTTGAGCTCGTGTGTCTCCTAAATCAGCATTTTCCGTCTTCTTCCCGACCGGTTCGAATAAATTCTGCCACAAATTTTTGGCAATAACCGCATGACCATATTTGCTTAAATGGAATATATCAGTAGCATAGAATGTTTGATCGTAAGCTCCAGAGCTCTAAAAAGAATCAATCTAACCATTAATTCTGAAAATAATTTCGAACATTTTTGAATGGTGTGTTATATTTGGTTGCAAACGGTTGAACTACTACTGCAAATTCTCTTGTGTTAAACATCGGATCGTTCTGGATTTCGATCAAAGCCTAAAACTATATTTTAAAAACCCTGAATGAAAATTAATAACTTTACCTTCCTGTATTCTTCTATTAATGAATCCAAAGCTTGTTCTTCTTCAAATTGTCGTGGTCGTTTTCTGAAAAGACTAAAATATTCGTATTTTTATAGAAAAAACTACCCAGTCATTATAATAGATATTGCTTCTTGTAATAATTCTGCTGGAAACATGTCAACTATTGATACAATAGTTCTCGGCAGATTTTCTTTAAGTTTTTGAAGCGCAATCTCAATCTGAGATTTATAGTATGATCCATTGACAGGCGCCTAGAATTCAATTTCGTCGAAAATTTGGAAATTAGTAAACTTACTGCAGTCCCATGATTCAATTTTCCCGGATCGTTGGTCCCAATCCAAAGGGAAATTAACTTCCAGTCCCTGGTAATATCCACCTGAAATTTTTTAAAATAAAACAAAAATATTTAAATGTTTCTCCTCCACATCTTTGTTTTCCTTCATTCGTTTTATAAGTTCATCTGCCTGATCAGGAAGCTGAAAGCTTCTAGCGCCTTCGATTGCAACATTGAAGCCAGTATGCCTTCCATATCCGATACCTTGACTACCGCCAGTTATTTTATAACCAACACGGTCGGCTATGTATTTCAGAATATCTAGAAAATTTTTTAAACCCAGGATTTTCAAAAAATGAATTTACTGTAAATCGTTAGATGAGAGGATATAGAATGCTCGGCACCGGTGATGAATGAGTTCCCAGAGAATTGCCTACCCGTCTGGTTGATCATATTCTGTGCTAAAGCTCCTATCTAAAAATATTATTAAATAAAAAAAAACAATGAAAAAAATTACTGTTAATGAGTCGCCTAATGCTCCAATTACTCTAATGTGATGCACTTTGACCTGCAAATTGATAGATATGGTCCTACAACGACATTCCGCTTGTGATTACTTTGTTAGCGTCGTCTGGATAAGGTTCGCCGGTATCAACTGAGCTCAAATATTCACCAAGGCATTGTTCCATTACAGATTCGCTGACGCCTATTGAAGGGTATTCTAGAAGGCAAACAACTCTAAGATAAATTTTAAGGTTAAATTACCATATAAGGCTGTCTCCGGTTGCATTGTAGGTAGTGGAGTCTTGTCTGGAAAATCTCATTCATTCAAAATCGCAGTAGACAAAGTTGGTGGTTGACATGAAACGAGTCATTTCAGTTTTTCAAACTCGAACCTTCAACGATGGTTGACCCATCGTACGAATTAATGATAAATAGAAACACGAAAAGCAGGAAAACCAGCAGGAGAGCCATGATCAGACTCTTAAACGGGTAAATACTGTTGAAAATCTTCCATTCTCATAATAATCAGATTTTCGAATTAATTTCTAAAAGAAAAGAAATTGATGAATATTTTTGTCAAAAAAAATGAACCCACTTCGTCGTAATCTTCATCAATTTGATCGGGAACTCGATTGTAGGGATCATCTCGATTAATCTGAAAATTGGAAAAAGCTGGAATATATTGGCGAACGCTTATTACAAATAATTCAAGATCTGGGTTCATGGCGAACCTGGGGAAACAGTCGATCTTTTCTGACGTTCTTTGAAACCATTATATAATGCCGGATAAAAACCGTAACGACACAGAAGTGATCGATTCGCAAAGGAGATTCGTAGATGGATATCAGACATTTGCACGACCAATCCGACACAAAGCCATTCATGAAAAAGGGAAAAAAATTGTAAAAATCGTTCGCAAAGTGTTTTTACTGTAAAAAAAAATAAAATAAAAACCATTCCGCGGATAGGAATAGAAAATAAGTACAATATTTCCTTATTAAGGGAGGTCTTTTAAATATCTGAATAAAAAAATTTATAGTTTTTGCATTTGGAAAATTTTAAATTGATTGATGTAGGTCGCTTTATTTCGATTTTTCAAAAATTATCGAAAAAACATTTTTTGCACAACCCTGTTCCCTAACCTGTGCAAATTTCTAGTTAACATTATATGAACCACTAACTATAGGGTAGATACTGAATGGGGGGAAGCTAAATGTGGGGGAATGGGGAGGGGTGGGAAACGCTGAATGGGTGAACGTCTATTTTTTGTCTTAATGGATGAAGGGCTGAATGGGGGAAAAGTCGTGATGAATATTTGAAAAGTATAAAAAACTTAGTCGTCGCGAGAATTGAACTACAAAAACATATTTCGAGTGTGCTTACAAATTCAGAATTATAGGCGTAGAACGCATCCAAGATGAAGCAGAAATAATTGTAATTATTTTCTTGATGTGTTATTCAAATAAGAGTCTTAGATGACACCGTGAAATTTTTAATTGGTTTCGTTTTTCAAACAGTTCGATTAAGGCTTAGAGCAACAACTCGTTAGGCTAAGCCCAACACTGATTTACCTAAGTCTATTACTTGTTAGGCTAAATCGCGCTCAACACTCATATGGATCAATTTTTATATAATCTTACCCTATTCAGAAATAACATTTTTCAACTTTACCCCCATTAAGACAAAAAATAGAAGTTCCTCCATTCAGCTTCCCTCATTCAGTATTGGCCCAGAGATAGACCTTCCTTCCCGTGAATATTACGTACGAAAAATTACAGTAGCTCGAGGATAAAATCGCAAATTTGCGGTTTGTTGAGCGGCGAATTCGTTGATTGCTTTCATTTATTAAATAGTCCATAGATTAATCGTCTGGATAAAAAAATTTATGTCATCAAAAAAATTTAACTGTTTCCAATTGTTCGAATAAGGCAATTCTCCTGAAAATATTGCAATCAATATTACGATCGATAGTCAAAATTACCTTCGTTAGTTTAAAAATTTGAGCTCGTGTGTCTCCTAAATCAGCATTTTCCGTCTTCTTCCCGACCGGTTCGAATAAATTCTGCCACAAATTTTTGGCAATAACCGCATGACCATATTTGCTTAAATGGAATATATCGGTAGCATAAAATATTGGGTCATAAGCTCCAGAGCTCTAAAAAGGAACAATTGAACCAATTCTGAAAACAATTTCGAACATTTTTGAATGGTGTGTTATATTTGGTTGCAAACGGTTGAACTACTACTGCAAATTCTTTTGTGTTAAATATCGGATCGTTCTGGATTTCGATCAAAGCCTAAAACTATATTTTAAAAAACCCTGAATAAAAGTTAATAACTTTACCTTCCTGTATTCTTCTATTAATGAATCCAAAGCTTGTTCGTCTTCAAATTGTCGTGGTCGTTTTCTTAAAAATGTGAAAATATTCGTAATTTTTGTGCAAATAAACTACCCCGTCTCTATGATAGATCTTGCCTCTTGCAATAATTCTGCTGGAAACATGCCAATTATTGAAACAATAGTTCTCGGCAGATTTTCTTTAAGTTTTTGAAGCGCAATCTCAATCTGAGATTTATAGTATGATCCATTGACAGGCGCCTAGAATTCAATTTCGTCGAAAATTTGGAAATTAGTAAACTTACTGCAGTCCCATGATTCAATTTTCCCGGATCGTTGGTCCCAATCCAAAGGGAAATTAACTTCCAGTCCCTGGTAATATCCACCTGAAATTTTTTAAAATAAAACAAAAATATTTAAATGTTTCTCCTCCACATCTTTGTTTTCCTTCATTCGTTTTATAAGTTCATCTGCCTGATCAGGAAGCTGAAAGCTTCTAGCGCCTTCGATTGCAACATTGAAGCCAGTATGCCTTCCATATCCGATACCTTGACTACCGCCAGTTATTTTATAACCAACACGGTCGGCTATGTATTTCAGAATATCTAGAAAATTTTTTAAACCCAGGATTTTCAAAAAATGAATTTACTGTAAATCGTTAGATGAGAGGATATAGAATGCTCGGCACCGGTGATGAATGAGTTCCCAGAGAATTGCCTACCCGTCTGGTTGATCATATTCTGTGCTAAAGCTCCTATCTAAAAATATTATTAAATAAAAAAAACAATGAAAAAAATTACTGTTAATGAGTCGCCTAATGCTCCAATTACTCTAATGTGATGCACTTTGACCTGCAAATTGATAGATATGGTCCTACAACGACATTCCGCTTGTGATTACTTTGTTAGCGTCGTCTGGATAAGGTTCGCCGGTATCAACTGAGCTCAAATATTCACCAAGGCATTGTTCCATTACAGATTCGCTGACGCCTATTGAAGGGTATTCTAGAAGGCAAACAACTCTAAGATAAATTTTAAGGTTAAATTACCATATAAGGCTGTCTCCGGTTGCATTGTAGGTAGTGGAGTCTTGTCTGGAAAATCTCATTCATTCAAAATCGCAGTAGACAAAGTTGGTGGTTGACATGAAACGAGTCATTTCAGTTTTTCAAACTCGAACCTTCAACGATGGTTGACCCATCGTACGAATTAATGATAAATAGAAACACCAAAAACAGGAAAACCATCAAAATAACCATATTTCGACTTCTCGAACGGATAAATACTGTTGAAAATAGCCCATTCCCATAATAATCAGATTTTCGAATGAATTGCTGAAAAAAAAAATTAAGGAGTATTTTTTTTCACAAAAATTGAAATCACTTCGTCGTAATATTCGTCGATTTGATTGGGAACGCGATGGTAGAGAGCCTCTCGATTAAGCTGAAAATTGGAAAAAGCTGGAATATATTGGCAAAAGCTTCTTACAAACAATTGAAGGTTTGGGTTCATGGCGAATCTGGGAAATAATGGAGTTTGCTCCGGCGTCCTTTGAAACATTTAAACAATGTAGGATAGAAAAAAATGGAAATGAAATTGAAGTGATCGATTCGCGTAGGGGGGATTCGTAGATGGATATCAGGCATTTGCCCGTCTCAAATCCAACGCAAAGCCAGAAAACAACAGCAATCGATTCATGGAAAAGAGAAAAAATGGTATAAATTGTTGACAACGTGTTTGCACAGTTTTGAAGATCGTAAAAAAAATCTATAAAAATCATTCCGGAAGGGAATAGAAAATAAGTATACAATTTCCCTTAAGAGCACATTTGCTTAAGAATGGGACGTTGCTATGGAGGGCATTCTTTTGTAAATAATTCGAATATGGCCGAAATGGCAAAATTCGAAGGGATTATTTATGGGGCAAAAAATACCAGTTTTTAAAAATGGCAAGAAAAAACGTTAGGAGATTTACCAAAATTGATATTAGCGTTTGATCAACTTTTTGTTTTTTGTTGTGAGGCTTCAAAAATTGCTGGAAATGAAACAAAATTTCACGTGACCAGAAATTCGCGCTTTTCAAAATTCAAAAATTTTGAAAAATTGCAATTTTTTGAAAATATGTCTGCACATGCATTGTTTCGCAAAATGGGCGCCTCTTTGTTGTATTTTCGATCACAACGTGTTTTATTTGTTTAATGAAACAGTCAAACTATGCACATACATGTACATATAGTAGCGGACAAGTATCTGATAAGAGTTGTGACATTATTGATGAATGATTTTTTTTGGAGAATTTTCAGATAAAAATTTACAGATGTGACAAAAAACGTTTCAAAAGCTTATCGTCCCAAAATAGAAATTGCAATTTTCAATTTATATTGGATCCATTAAGCAATTTTATATAATTCGAATAACTCCGATGATTTCGTTCCCCCATAGCCTGAGATTATAATACTACATTATTTTCTGGAGCAGTTGTTGTCGAGCTTATCAATTGTCGTAAACGAAGGTTTTAGTTATTTTTTTTTGTCTGAACACATGCTCACAATTTATGGGTATTTTTTGGCGAAATCACTAGACAAAAAATCGGCGGACATATCTGTGTATCTCTATCTCGCTGGTCGGCAGTAAGCAGGCACTCGCCGCGCGTTTTTCTCGACCCGACCTCGAATGGCCGATGTTCAAACAGTCAAGGACAACAACAGTTCGCATTTCTTTTATTTTTTTTTTTCAAACAAATCGAAATAAACTGCAGTTTCAGATGATTATTGCGACAAAATCGATCGTCGCTGCTTATCAGTGCATTCTATCATCGACATGACAAATCGAACTTTGACCTAGCGAAAAATGGAGATAATAGGTGCGAAAAAAAAAAACCATTATTTCCCTAATATGTCTTCATAATAGTAAGTGCGAGAAACGCATTCAATTTTCATTTTCTTTTGCTAATTCTGTGCCACTAATCGTCTGATTTCTAACAGATTCTGCCAGATAACGAACTGACCTAAAATGCTGATCTATGAACGCTTAAGAATGTTATCAAATTTTGTTGGTAATTTTCAGAAAAATTGATATGCTCTACGCGGATTTTATAGCAGGATGGGCAGCTGGTAAGCTGGAAATTCCAACGACCCCCTATATTAGAGTGTTTTAGGAGGAGCTGGACTTATTGTCGGACATCCACTGGACACTGTGAAAGCTAGACTACAAACAATGACAGTCTACAAGGGGATTCTAGATTGTATGACGCAGACGATGCGCCAGGAATCGGTAATTCGGATTATTAAATCTTCATGCCAACGTTCTGACATTTTAAGATCTATGGGTTGTACAAAGGAATGCTGATCCCGTTCATTTCAACTGGAGCCATACACTCGCTGTTGTTTGCTGGCTATGGAGCCGCGTTGAAGTTTCTCCATCCTGGTGAATCAAATATCGAGGCGCGAAAAGATTTGCCAATGAGTGAGGTTTGGTAAATACTGGCTCAGATCGTCGCATCACAGCCAAAAAAAAAATTTGGCACATTGCCAAAATTAGGTGCGAGATTATATGTATCATTATTTCTAGATCTTGTTTGCTTCGATATGCGGCACTATGGTTCAAGTCGGTCCAGTGATTCCCGTGGAATTAGTGAAAACCAAACTTCAGGTTTTGACTATCATTATTTACTCATACCGAATGGATATCCTTCAGGTGCAACGTGAGAACATTTCGCATTTCAAGAAGCACGCGAAAAATCTCTACGCCGGCCCAATGGAGTGTATTCGAGACACCGTGCGGAGTGAAGGAATTCGCGGGCTCTTCAAGGTACCATTGAAATCATCCTTCAGAAGAATTTCATTCGATTTCAGGGAGGATCTGTGGTTCTGCTTCGTGATAATATTGGATACCTCTTCTATATTCCAGTGTATGAAGGTCTGTTAAGAAGCTTTCGAAGTCAAGGCTATGAAAATACCTGGACTCAACTCTTCTCGGGCGGTATGGCTGGAATCTCCGGATGGATTTCGGTGTGCCCACTAGAGGTGGTAAAGAACAGGATCCAGGCGATGAAATCGCACACAAAAATGTGAGACTCAACATTTTCTATAAAATAATAGGTTTAAACAATTTTAGAAGCCCAAAAGAGATGACGCTGAAAATCTACAAAGAGGAAGGGATTTCAGCATTTTACCGCGGCGGTTGGGCGATTTCCGTTCGAGGATTTGTTGTCAATTCCGTGATATTTGTAGTTTACGAGAACACTTTGCAATTTCTCACCTGATAAATCATTCAATTCCAATATTTTTTTCATTATCTCTTCATTGGGTTGTCGATTTCCCAAATGATGTTTCTTGTGCTTTGATCCCTGACTGGTTTCCATTCAATTTTTGATATTCTTCATTTTTTGCGTTTGCTCTTTATACCGAACTGCATTCTTTTTTTTTGCGCAAACACGTTGTATCGGTAGTTGTACAAACAAATTGGCGGAGATTCCAAGTTGTGTATCAAATTGATGTTTGCTCAAAAGATGGATGTGATAAAAATAATACGCCGGTTTTTCGCCGATAACAGTTTATCGTTGTTGTAGGTCGATTCGACTGCCATGTCGACTATTATATTCCTAGCATTACTGGCTTCAGCAGTTTATGGATTAGATAATGGATTGGCTAGGTATGAATTATTAAATAACTCCCCAACCTGGATGATCCCTTTCAGGACCCCTCCAATGGGTTGGATGTCATGGACCGCATTCTACTGTGAAATTGATTGTGTCAAACACCCCAACGGATGCATCAATGAGAAGCTTTATATGGACATGGCGGACCGTCTAGGTATTGAAATTTGATCACCAGATGGCTCAATCAATTTAGTGAGTGATGGCTACCGAGAGCTCGGCTACAAGTCAGTGCACATCGACGACTGCTGGTCGGAAATGGAACGCGATGAGAATGGGTTGTTGGAGGCGAATCGGACTCGATTCCCGAGTGGAATGAAGAAGCTTGCTAAATATGTTTGAATTTTTTAAACCCTAGCAATCAAGATTATTGAATTCGATTTAGATGCACGATCGAGGCCTTAGATTCGGAATCTATGAAGATTATGGCACCAAGACATGTGGAGGATATCCTGGAAGCTACGGACACCTTAAGGTCGCGCAAATTTTGATCGATGTACATTGAAAATCAATTTTAGGCTGACGCTCAAACCTTTGCCTCCTGGGATGTTGACTACTTGAAGCTTGATGGTTGCTATATTGACACTGATCTAATGCCAGAAGGATACGCAGAGATGGGACGCGAGCTTAATGCTACCGGAAGGCCGATAGTTTACTCGTGCAGTTGGCCGGCTTATCTCATTGATCATCCAGAGAAGGTTGATTATAATTTGATCGGAAAGCATTGTAATACCTGGAGAAACTTTGATGACATCAATTCGTCATGGAAATCGATTCAATCCATTATCAACTATTATGATCATAATCAGGATAAGCATATTCCGACCCATGGGCCTGGAAAATGGCATGATCCTGATATGGTAAGGTGTTTAATATATAGTCTTTGGAAAATTTTGTATCAATTGCAGCTTGTTATTGGAAACAAAGGGATCACCGTGGATATGGCGATTGCTCAAATGTCAATTTGGTAAATTGTGTTCTCTTCTCAAGATTTCCAATAATTTTATGTTCAAGGTGCATCTGGGCTGCTCCTTTAATTATGTCAAATGATTTGCGTATCATTGCTCCAGAATTTCGAGAAATTTTGCTCAACCAAGATGCTATCAATATTAATCAGGATCCTCTGGGAATTATGGGACGATTGGTGGCTAATGTAAGACATTCGATTTGACTGAAATTCTTCGAAATCTTATGCAGACCACTGATTTGGGACTTTATGTGAAGCCAATCATGCCGACGTCAGATACCCATAGCTCTTTTGGAATCGCCGTTTTGAATAGGAACTTGTCGCAAGGAAGAGTAAGATCCTTTATTATTCTCAAAAAAATGCTCTCGTTTGAATTTGCATGTTTAGACAATTCGATTCACATTGAAAAACATTGGCCTCACCTATGAGCACGGCTATCTGATCAGAGAGATCTGGACGAACACCGACTTCGGATTAATGAGCCCGAACGACGAAATTGAGTTCAACATCAATCCAACAAGCGCAGCACTATTCCGTGCTGACATCGCATCGATGGTGGATCCAAGAAGATGGAAGAAGTTCAAAAAGGATTCGCCATTTAGAAAGTAACAAATTTCTTCGTTGAATTGTTGGCATTTGTACTGTATTTATTCAAATCTTTGTGTCTTTCTTCCGCTCGCATATTTCATTTTAAAAAATTTATATGAAAGTTATTCATGTAGTTTGAGGCGTTCTTGATTGGCGAGCCGCTATGCTGAAATCTCGAAAAATGTCTCCTCGAATCATCCATCGAATACTGTCAATTAAAAGGGATCTCGTGCATTGTGTACAGATTCCATAAATTGTAAAGTTGAGAAGATAGGCAAATGACGCTCTTACATAAAATGTATAAAACTTAATCGTCTGGAAATCTTGCAGGGATTCTATCTGAATGTTGATCATTTTTTTTCAACCATTTTGAACTTCAAACCATACCGGAAGATTGTCAAAAATCTTCCCTGATATGTCATAAATGGTTAGAAAGAGTGTAGTGGAAACTAGTGAAAATGTCATCGTCTTCTCGAAATTTTGTTTTTTGTTAGTTTTTCTTTGTGAAACTGTCGAATGCGCTGAAGACCATTTCTGAGTGCTACGATTCTTCGAAAAAATTTCCTACAGCTTGTTTCACCCATAATTGAGCCAATTTTTCGATGCTTCAATGAGACATGAAATACGATTAAAATGCTCAGAATCACTGAAATGTATGGGGCAATTGAAGTGAAGCCGAAATAAAATGTCGTCATCTGAATTTTGATTTGTGGTTAACGCTTTAAACGAATATTAGTCTGGTATTCAAACTAGAATATGAATCTGAATGATGCATACTGGATGTTTATTAGGAGTGCATTCTGCGATGAACCTCAAAATCCTTTGATTCATCACAATATAACAATCAGACATATATGGAATAAATAAAAGGATAAAGCTGATTGTCTGCAAATGTCGACAATTTCCCCTGGAAGGCGCAAATATTTTACCGCCAGCAATCCAGTGTATATCCATAAATAGAAATCGGTAAATTTATTGGTGGTCGGGTTCAAAACGCAATAAATTCGTTGGATAATCATCAAAAATGTTAAAGAGAGTGGATGGCGATAGGAAAATGATACGATCAACGTAAGCAACGGACCATAGGTGTTAAGAAATGCTGGAAGCGATTTATCATAGACGTCAAGTTTCGTATATAATCTTTGTTACCAAAATAATAATCGTCAATCCATACCATTGGAAATGTGCAAAGGACAATTGACAAAAATGTGTTCAGCATATTGCTAATTATCATATTGTAGATGTATACGGTAGGCATTTTTGCTGAAGAATAAAGAAGCTCGAATAATTAAAGAGTAGGGGGATTTACATTTATTGCCATAATTGAAGATAACCGCGAAGAAGAAAATATTGAAGAGAAGCGAAATTAATTGAATAGAGAAGAAAATTGCACAAGGAATTATTAATGTGAAATTCCAGATCGAACCTGAAATCTTTAAGGTTTCCTAAAAACAAATATTTAAAATGTTACCGAAATCTGTTGAATTCATTCTAGGGTGGTGAAGAAATGCCTTACTTGATTAATATTTAAGGTGGCAATAAAAAAACGCAAATTCACAAAAACAATCCAATTGTCTGGACAAATATTATAGCGAAGCTGAAAATATCTAAAATTAAAGCTTCTCTTGGGTTAACTGTATCGGACAATTCTTGGTAGGTGATGTCATGGTCGACCAACAACATATCTAACCATTTTTAATACTTCCGTAGTATAAAAAATTCGGAGTGTAGGAAATACGAATGTCAAAATGAGGTCACTAATAAGTATGTGTGCTATATTTATTAATAAGTATGTCTGCTAATAATAAGCATTATCGAAGGCAGACGACTTCCACAAAATTTAAACTCTGAAAATTAGTCTCGAAATAATTCGTGTGTTGTTGATGTATTAATCAAAAAAAAAACTACAGTAGGCTGAATTGTTGAAACTATCGAAAATTGCCAATCTTTGGCAATATATTTCTATTATTTTTAGAATATTATGCCACAGAATTTTGCGAAAAACAATGCGTATTGGAAAAAAAGACCTTAAAGGGAGACCTGGAGAGTTTATTAAAATGATTAAATTATTTTTATTATTATAGATTTCCAATGTAATTGAATTCGGCAAATTTAATGCTTATATTTTTTTATAGGTGGATTACCCTTTATGGTTATCAAATAATGCCCTTTCAGGTTATTGACTGAGTCCTTAATTGGGTAGAGCTTCTTCTGTCATTGCTCTGATCGTCACTATAAACCATCCATTTAATAGAATCAATTATTAATTTCCTTGTGCAATTGGTTCCGATCCCATAGACTGTGAAGCATAGAAGATCCGAAAATGAGCTTCGTATATAAAATGAATAAAATTGGGCGACTTTTGAGGTATGAAATGCCTCAATCTGAACATATCGATGGGTTTCGACGCATTTGGAGATTTAATCAAACCGGTAGAATATCGCTGATTTTTCCTGATAAATCATAAGCAATTAGAAAGAATGTTGTATATATTAGCTGAAGAATCATGGATTTTTCAAAATTCGGCCTAGTCTTGGATTTTGTTCGACTAATCGCTACAGTCGAACTCGCTGAAAATTAAATATTTTCGATTATTTTTTCATTATTTATTTGTTTTACTTCTCTCCGAAAAATTTGAGCCAATTTTTCGATGCTTCAGCGAGATATGAAAAACGATGGCGATGCTCAAAATCATTGAAATATATGGAGCAATTGCGGTGAAGCCGAAATGATATTTGGTTATCTTAATTAATAGTTTATTTGGATTTCTTTTGAAAAAGGTGTACTGGATGTTTATTAGGGGCGCATCCTGTGATGAACCGCAAAATCCTTTGATTCATCACAATATAACAATCAGACATATATGGAATAAATAAAAGGATAAAGCTGATTGTCTGAAAATTTCGGTATTTTCCCTGGATGTCGCCAATATTTTACCGCCAGCAATCCAGTGTATATCCATAAATAGAAATCGGTAAATTTATTGGTGGTCGGGTTCAAAACGCAATAAATTCGTTGGATAATCATCAAAAATGTTAAAGAGAGTGGATGGCGATAGGAAAATGATACGATCAACGTAAGCAATGGACCATGGGTGTCAAGAAATTCTGGAATCAATCAATGCCATTTCAGTCGTTTAACTAACAAGATACCGTAATAAAACTCGTCCCTCCAAATCATTGGAAATGTGCAAACAACAAGAGACATAAATGTGTTGATAGAACTGCTAATTATCATGTTGAAAATGTATACGGTAGGTAATCTTGCTGAAAAAAAAGCAGCAAGATTACGCAGCAAATTCGGTATTTTTTTAATTTTAAATATTGATTACATTTGTCACCACAACTCGTGACGACTGAAAATAAGAAAAAGTTGAAACATAATGAGAATATGTGAATGGAGCTGAATATTACACAAGGAATTATTAAAGTGAAATCCCAGATTGAGTCTGAAATTTAGAACTATTTGGAAACTTGCAATGTTAAGCTATGTCGACCTGAATTTGAAGAATTCATTATGAGAAATCTTTCTTTAAACAATATGTTGGCAGCATAAAATGAAGATGAGATTTGATGCTACTGCTAAATAATTACATATTAGTGAAGAAAAAAATGATTTTTATATTTTCGTTTGAAAAATTAGCTAAATGCCATAGAGAGAGAGAGAGAGAGTTTTCAATTCGAGGTGAATCCTTTTGTTCAGCCAGAAAATCTATAAAATGATTCTTGCACTTTTTTTATTTTTGACAATTTGTCAATTTTCCGCAGAGTGCCGACAATAAAAGGTTGAAAAAAGTTGAATACATTTTTGCACTTGTCGTAGAAAATCATTCTTTCAGAAAAATTGAATTTGGACGTCATGCCGTCAGACATCAATGAATGATATGATAATGAGCTTCTCTAATAAGCATGAAATTTTGCTCATTAATGCGAAAATATGTATGATTAGTAACACTGAGTAATTTTCATCTAAAAAACGAATTTTTCATAAGTCTCGAGAACATTCGTTGAGTCGGATTTGAGAAAGCCCGCACGGGTGCCGCGCTTCTCGTGCCACGAGACGCGGACCAACACCCCGCATCGGTGACCCTTAGGGTCCGACCCAGGAGGGAATGCCTGGGGAGTCTAGGCGCACACGGTGGAGTGGCGTCGAGGCAATTTGTTATGAAGACTGCCACATTTGTAATTTTAATTAAAAAGCGACTATTTTCTGGAAATCGCAATTAAAATAAACTTTAAAAAAATGACAAAACTCGAAGGGTTCGATGGAATTCGAAAAATAAAACAGTCGTGGAAGAGTTTCTTCGGCTGTTTCCACTCTAGGCGGTGCCTGGCAGGGCCTCGGCATGGGCTAAGCATGACGGTGTCGAAGCACAGACTTCCTGTACTCCACTTGTCTCCTCCCCGAGTAAACCCACCAGCATCTTTCGAATTAGCCGAACAATCACTGATTATGACTTTTATTATTTCGTCTTCCAGCCAAATCTTTCTTACACCTTTTTCAGTTTGCTTACTTAAACCTGATCATTATTAGATTTCAAATTTTCATAATTTTTGACATTTTTTCATGGAAACTGGAAGACAGCGCAGCAAGACGACGAACAAGGCGACAGATCGAGAAAACATTAGCAATATTCAATGTTTTAAACTTTTCTCTATGCTTTGTTTCAGATGAAGGAGGTCGAGGCTGAATTGTGGGAGCTGTACGAGGTGCAGCTTGAATAGTGTTTTGAATAAATGCTAATTTAAATTTGACATTTCAGATTCGAAGTCATTAATTGAGATTCTCATCGTCTTCGTCATTTACAACCTAATTTTGTTGCTACAGGTTCTTTTTTATTTTGGAAAATTGTGCAAGTTTTACATATTTGAGATGTTCTCAGAATTATTAGGCGACAATACTCATTCAACTCATATTCCGATGATGTGTGACGTAAAGTTGGAATAAAAATTTGTCAATTTAATATTCGGTCAAGGAAATATTTAAATCCACACTGATTTTGCGAATTTGAGGCCTCCGCT